CCCGAGCAGCACATGGAGGCGCTCCAGGTCGCATACCGAGGCGATGAGCTTTAAGCAGCTCGTAGCCATGGCTGCAGGCAGTTCGAGGCGAGGCTCGAGCTCGTGAGGACCTTCGGCAAGGTCGCGCCCCTCCCCTGAGGAGGGGGCTGGGCGGGCGCCCGACATTCGACCTCCGAGGCCCGCGAACTCGAACTCCTCCTCGTCCTCCTCCTCGTCCTCCTCCTCCTCCTCCTCCTCCTCCTCCTCTCCCTCCTCCTCCCCATCCTCCGCCTTCTCCGTCAAGGTTCCAGGAACACACTTTTGATGTCTCCTGGACGTGAGCGAGCTGTCTTCACTCCCGTCGATACCTCCGCAAACATCCGGGGATCTCCTGACCTCCCCGGAGGCCGACGCAACCGGGGAGTCCCAGAGACCTCCGGAAACCTCAGGGATGAGACCTCCAGAGACATCTAGACCTCGAGGGGCATCGGAAAGGAGTTCTTGTTGGACGCGTTCGGTCCCTTCCCCGCTCCGCCCACCCCCCCTCCCACCTTCCCAGGCCCCCAATGCCTAGGCCTGTCGAAGATCGACGCCCTATTCCAACAAGCCTTAAGCCAGAAATGCTTCAAGGCGCTGTTAGTCTGGAGGAGGATGAAGGACGACAGAAATAATGGAGTAGGAGGAGGAGGAGGGAAGGAGGAGGAGGATGAGGATAAGGAGGAGGAGGAGGAGGAGGAGGAGACCGGCCGTTCGGCCATCCACGGAAGCAGAGTGCAAGACCCTGACAGCGGGGGGGGGCGGAGCTAGATGTACTTCCACAGTTTAAGGCGTCCGCACATGCGGACTCATCTGCCCCCCCGAACCTGAAAGAGGGGAGAGGAACGGAGAACGAGAGAATACAATGATGAGACCTTCTGACATCATACCTTCGCCATGCTTTCGGAAACACACTCCTGTGGATTCTGCGCATAATGAGGCCGAAGGGCTCTGCGCAGGAGGCAGAGGAGCGTGCGAAGGAAAATGCGATAGACTCGTGCCCCCTCCTCAATGAAACCCGTCGAACTGGAAGATGTGAATAGACATGCAGCCCCGCCCAACCTGACCTGACCTCCCCCCGCCACAACATGATGTGGAGCCGCTGTCTGCAAAGAGCAGCGGCGCACAGTCAGCGGAGAAGGAAAGCCAGAGAGGAAAAAAAACGAGGGAGAGCGGAAGGGACAAGCGATCCACGACTCTCATTTCACACATAGAAGAGAAAGCAACGGAACGCACCCGTCAACCGACCCGTCCCAAACTCTCCACCCATCCGCACTGAAAATGGACGCCGCGCACCATCATAATCGACAGGAGAACACGTGCTCGGTCTCGGAATGAGCAGGATTGGGCACGCATCGCAAGGCTGTGCCCATGGGGCAACAAAAAGAGGCAAGACAGGAAACGACGCGATCGGCGCACTGGACAGACCTGGCCTACAAGACGCTGCTGGCGCACGCGATCGGCCCACCCTCAAACAATCCCCCCCCCCAACAACCACAAACTTCCCTGGCCTCGCAACAATGTGGCTGGCGAGGACGCGCAGACTGCGGAGAGCAGGCGCCAGCGAGGGAAGGGATCAGGGGTAGAGCCTGGGGAGGAGGGGGCTGGTGATTGCCACGCGACTGGATAAGCAGTCTTGGGCTCGCAGACGAAGGAAGACGTCAAACAACAGTCAGGGGTAGAGCCTGGGGAGGAGGGGGCTGGTGATTGCCACGCGACTGGACAAGCAGTCTTGGGCTCGCAGACGAAGGAAGACGTCAAACAACAGTGGCAACACAAACATCAAGACGTGCGAGCAGCTCGTTAACGACGGCACAGGCAAGCTCTTGGAGGCGAATGGGGGGCGACCCGCGACGAGAAAACAAGGGAGAAGCGACGGCCAGCACCTCACTTGAGAGAGCTTGGCAGCCACAACAACAAATTCCGAAATCCTGACAAAGACATACCTGGACGCAGAAGACCAACGTCCTCGCCGTGCGCTTGTTTATTCGGGCAAGATATCGGGAAATTCCCTGGAACGGCGGGAAAGCCAATCGGCCCACCATTTCTGCTCGCCCAATGCTGCGTGCTGAACCCCGCACGCCCTGCGGACGAACCCGTTGCTCTCCGATTGCGGAGGCGGTCCCCTCGCCACGGGCCGTCGTGGGTGCGATTGCAACTATAGTAACTATGGGCGCGCAGCGGCTTTTCGCTAGGCTTGCACTCTGCGCGATATCAGAGACCGTCACTTGCGTCTCACGACAAGCCAACGGTTCCCCTGACAAGACCTACAGGCCGGAGGAACCACGGAATTGAGATCAAGCTGACTGTCTTGACCGTTCTGCTGCTGCCCCTCCTCTTGAGGCGAACTCGAGGCAGCAGAATACGGAGGCTGTAGTGGAAGGCGCTCCTCTGTCGACGATGCGCCTTCTCAAACGAAACACTTTCTTTACACAAAAACGCGAGTTGCAAGTAAGCTTTGGTGCCCCCATAGGGACGAAGAGCAGAGAGCGCTCGCCAATTCTCACCAATTGCCCCAGGGCAGCCAAGGACAACCCCGTCCGTCAGAGCTGCAGGCTGGCTCTTGAGAGTGGGCAAAAGGAAGGGCAACTGGGGCAAAAGGGGAACTGCCACCTTCAGCCCTGCAAGGGCTGCGAGGGGGCACTGCACGCGCGGCACTGTGGGCGAGACAGCGCCGACCTTGCGGCGGAGCCGATGACGATGACGAAGACGATGACGACCACGACGATGACGACGACGATGATGACGATGTCATCGTCATCGTCATCGTCGTCGAGCTCCCAGCCTCCCTTCCTGCCGAGCTGGCAGGTCAACCGCAACAGATCCCGCGAGAGGACTGGCGGTGCGCCCGGGGGCGGCCCACAGGGACGGGGCGAGGGGGCGCGCCCGGTACAGGGCCTGCTGGGGGACCCAAGAAACGATGACAGCAGCAGCAGCAGCAGCAGCAGCAGCACCGCTGCCACCAATGAGGAGGAGGGGGAGGAGGAGGGGGAGGAGGAGGAGGAGGAGGAGGAGGAGGAGGAGGAGGAAGAGGAGGAGAAGGACGAGGAGGAGAAGGAGGAAGAAGAAGAGGAGGGGAAAAAGGTCGAGAAGGAGGAGGAAGATGAGGAGGAGGAGGAGAAAGCATGAAGAATCGACGGCCCACTTGGCGCCGCACCACGCGGGGTAGACGAGTGCGCCGAGGGCGGCAACAGACGCGGTAGCGGAGGAGGCGGCGGAGGAATGCGACTTCCGGGCGGCAAGCCGCGGATGCGTAAAGATGTTGTGTGAACGCGGCGTGCCTCCCAGCGGGGAGGCCAGCGCGCCAGGCTCCCAAAAACGGAATGTAAAGGTGAGAGAGCAAAAAGGGCAGCCTTCCACCACAAGGGCAGGACCAGGGACGGGGCCGGGGAAATGGCAGGCCGCTCTGGCATGGAGCCTCAGGAGGAGGAGCAGGACGAGGAGGAGGAGGAGGGGGAAGGAGGAGGGGGAAGGAGGAGGAGGAAGGAGGAGGGGGAAGAGGAGGAGGAAGGAGGAGGAGAAAGGATGGAGGAGGAAGGAGAGGAGGAGGCAGGACGAAGGAGGAAAGAGAGCACGACAACTGCGCCCTTTTCTCTGCACTCCCCTCCCCCCCCTCCGTGCCCTCGCCCCCTGCCCCCTCCTCGGAGCATCCCCCCCTGGCCCTGTTTACATCCACCCCTTCCCCCTGCTCGGGGGCGCGCAAACATGGATTAGCGATCCATGGAGTTGGCGCGCGGTCGCCAAATCCATGGATCGGGGGAGGTTGCCCTCCCCAAAATGCGGCCGGTGCCGCCTCGCTCGGCGGCGGCAATCCGCGATTCCCCATGGAAACGGGCGCCCCTTTGATCCATGTTTGCGATCGCCTGAGAAAAGGTTGGTGCCACCACCCCAACGGAGCCCACCAGAACCTCATGGGAAAAAAAACAGCCAACAGTCTGGGGACCGTACTGCTTTCAAGATCAACGCGAAGAAAGCGCATCCAGCTGCCATGCGTGCCTGGCTAGCGTCATTAATTGCCGCTTCCATGGCTCAGAATATGATGATGATGATGATGATGATGATGATGATGATGATGATGATGATGATGATGATGATGATGATGATGATGATGATGATGATGATGATGATGATGATGATGATGATGATGATGATGATGATGATGATGATGTCGACCATTGCCGGGGTGGTACCCCAGAACTGGTTGCAAATCTCAGGAAGTTCAGTCTTCCGCGCACCAGCGACGCATCGTCGACGTGGGCCATGCACCGGCGCCGTCGGCGTGGAGGAACTCGGGCTCCGCACCGAGCCGCATCGCCGATGCACCGGCGATGCGGCGCGAGCCTCCGACCCCATCTAGTAGGACCCGCGCAGGAGGCCTAGCTGCTGCTGCTAACGGTTGATGAAGGTGATCCTGCAACCGCCTGTCCTGCCGAGCGCCCCTCGTTTGAACACAGAGGGGTCGGGGGCTGAGGAGGCCTAGCTCCTCCCCTTCCTCGGCCTCCGTCTCCTCCCCTCGGCCGGCCCCCCCTCGCGGCCGGCGCAGCTGGCCCTCGTCGCCGCCAGGGCGCGCCGAGGCCCGCCTGCGCCGCGAGGCCAAGGAAGGCCGAGGCGCACTGGCGGGTCGAGCGCGCCATGGGCCGGCACTCCCTCGCCCTCTCTCGCCAGCCTCTGCGAGAGGCTGGCCCTCCGGCAGGCCGCCCGCCCCCTCTCTCAAGCGGGACTGGGGAGGGCAGCCTGCGGCACGACGACGAGAGCTCGCGGACCCCGCCACGCCTGCGTCCCACCACGTCCTCCCTTCTCCCTCCTCGGCCCTCCTCCTCCCCCCTCCCTATTCCCTCCCCCCTCGCTCGTCTCCCCCCCCCATTCCTTCTCCTCCTCCTCCTCCTCCTCCTCCTCCTCCTCCTCCTCCTCCTCCTCCTCCTCTTCCTACAGAAAGAATTCCCCTCTGCGCCCTGCCCTCCGCCGTCCCCCCCCCTGCCGCGGTCCTCCGCGGCAGACCGCTCCAGCCGTGAGAGGTCTCCCCGGGTGGTCTCCACCAGGCTGCGGAGGGCGTCCGTCTCCTCGGCGGGGGAAAATAGGGGTGGGTGGATACGACGGAGGAGGCCTCCTCCTCGTCCTCCACCTCCTCCTCCTCCTCCTCCTCCTCCTCCGCCTCCGCCTCTGCCTCTCCTCCTCCTCCTCCTCCTCCTCCTCCTCCTCCTCCTCCTCTCTTTCTCTTTCTCTTTCTCTTTCCATTTCTCCTCCTCCTCCTCCTCCTCGTCCTCCTCCTCGTCCTCGTCCTCGTCCTCCTCCTCCTCCTCCTCCTCCTCCTCCTCCTCCTCCTCCTCCCTACTCCTCAACAACATCCTCGGGAGGAACAGGCGTTAGGGGGGGGTGGGGGGGCAGACGCACCGTCGGCGGAGGGACAGTCGAGACATTGGCGGCCCTCCCTGGTGACGCTCGTCCTTTCTGTGTCTCCTGGAGGTTTCTCGTCGCCACGGCTGGATCCGCCTCGAAAAACTGTGTCAGGATGGTCCCTGGGAGGGGTCAGGTGTCTGGTGGATGTTTTTGTTGACCGGCTTTGGGCCACGCGGGAAGCCGCCGTTGTCTGTACTTACCCGCCTCTGGCCGAAGGAAGAGGGAGGCGGAGGCGGTGGGAGGTGTTTGGAGGTTTCTCGCCCTGCTCGGGCCTCCGGCAAGCTACTCGCCCCTACGTTTGGACGCGCCTCGAAAGGATCCCCGTGCCCATCGGCTGGTCTGCCTCCGTTGCGCGACAATGGGTTTGCGGTTCAATTACCCTGTTCGTGGCCGTCACCGCTCCGCATGCGCCGAAAACCCTGCTGACTGAATATCCAGGCCTGTGGCTATGCTGTTCCCACATCCCAGACATCATTTCGAGCACCCAGAAGTATAGGAACAGTGTCGAGCGAGTATCGCCTCCCAGGGCCCGTCGCGTGAAAACCCTCCAGTTTCGGTCATTTCTTGGTGCTCGAAACTCTTTCTGGTGATCAAGGCTGAGGTCGGTTGGAACATCATAAGCCTGGGGCATCGCTCGAACTCGCTCCCGCCGAACGCCGCCCCTCAAGCCACGTGGCGCAGGGCTCGGGGTCTGGCGCGCGCGTCGGCCTGCGAGGAGGAGGAGGAGGCGGAGGAGGAGGAGTGGGGAGCCGCGGCTGCCCTGTCCAGCGGCCCAACACGAGAGCAAGCTGGATACTGGAGCCCGAACAAGAGCCAAGAGGCGGGGAGAAGAGCATAAGAGCACCGAGTTACATAAACATACTAGAATGCAAGCGGTGCGCGTCGGTGTCTTAGGTCGCGGAGGGCCCCCCCCCATGGCGCGCGGAGCGCGCCAGGGACCCAGCGCTTATCGAAGAAAGCCGCGCGACCCCCAAACGCCTGCGCCTGTGATGGTTCTGCGTCTTCAAGGCGGACAGGGAAGGGGTGGGAGAAGGCGAGGGACGAGGAGGCCGAGGAGCAGAGAAGGAACAAAAGGCAGGCATGGAGGCAGAAGCAGCAGCAGCAGCAGGGAGGGAGGAGGAGCAGCATGGAGGGAAGGAAGCGACGGGGGGAGAGGAAGGCAGAGGTCAGAGAGAGGCTCCCGCCTTTGCCGATGCCGCCGCCGCGGCCGCGGACGCGCCCCCGGCGGCACCGACGCTGCGCAGCTCCCCCACCTGCCAGGGGGATGGGGGGGAGAGGAAGAAGGACGAGGAGTAGCGAGGAGATGAAGAGGAGCAGGACAAAGGAGAAGAAGGAGGTATAGAGGAACTGCAACAGCATCAACTTTCGCTGCGCGGATTGCTTGGACCGGCGCCAGATATCAGAACCGCGGACCTCCGAAAGGTTGCGCGCACCTTATCAGCATTACGACTGGCACCCTTCATACTTATTATGTCCGTGTCGCTGTTGCTTCGACAGAGAAAAAGAGAGATAAAGAGAGAGAGAGAGAGAGTCCGGGAACAACACCGACAAGGACACGAGAGAGGAGGCCAGAGGACGCGAGGAGGGGCGACGACGAGGGGGCGAGCAGGAGAGGCAGGAGCGAGGAGGAGGGGGAGGGACGGCCCGGGAACCGCGAGGGGGAGGGCGACGGGAGGAGCGCGCCCGCCGCCCGACGAGCCCACCCGCCCCTCCCTCCCGCCGGGAGGCCTGGCCGTGGAGCGCGTCGATGCGCGTGCGCAGGACGGTGGCCTCGCGCCCCGGGGGAGGGGGGACCACGGGGCCCCCTCCTCGCCGTCCGCCCGGCCCGCCTCGCCCCCATCGGCCCCCCACCCCGCTCCCTCCGCGGCTGCCCAGCCTCCTGCCTGCTCCTCCTCCGCCTCCTCCGCCGCCTCTGCCTCCTCGTCCACCTCCTGCTCTCCTGCCCCCTCCTGCTCCTCCGCCTCCTCCAGTACCTACGCAGGTGTCCTCCTCCACCTCCTCCTTCTCCTCCTCTTCCTCCCCCGCCTCCTCCTCCTCCTCCTCCTCCTCCTCCTCCTCCTCCTCCTCCTTCTCCTTGTCCTCCCACGCCGCGCCGTCCTGTCATTCTCACCCTCTGCATCCCACCTCCTGCGATTCCCTCTACCTCCCCTGCTCATCTTCATCTTCCCCATCCTGCACCCTCCTACGGATCCCAAGAGTTGCAGAGCTGCGGGGAATAGTGGCCGTCAGCTTGAAGAGGGCCGAAGGGGAGCAGAGCAACAGGAGCAGAAGGGAGACAAGGAGGGAGGAGGAGGAGGAGGAGGACGAGGAGGAGGAGGAGCAGGAGCAAGAACAGCACGACTGAGGAGGGCAAGGACCCCCTGTATCCTCCTCCTCCTCCTCCTCCTCCTCCTCCTCCTCCTCATCCTCCGCCTCCACCTCCTTGCTTTCCCACCTCGTCAATATCGTCATCCTCAAGGTCCCTCCTCCTCATCCTTTACATCCGACGTACGCCTCATTACGCAAATGAATGCTCCTCTCTCATTATCCTCCTCCTCCTCCTCCTCATCATCATCATCACCACCAGGACCACCACCACCACCACGACCATCTTCATCATCATCATCATCATCATCATCATCATCATCATCATCATCTTCATCATCATCATCATCATCATCTTCATCATCATCATCAACATCATCATCATCATCATCATCATCATCATCATCATAATCATCATCATCATCATCACCATCATCAACAACAACAACGTCATCAACACATTGATCGGCAGCATAATCATCATCACTATCACCATCACCATCGTAATCATCACCAACAACATCCATAATCAGTAGCATCAGCACCAGCATCAGAATCGACATATCATCAACAGCATCATAATCATGATCAGCATCATCATCATAATCATCATCAGCATCAGCAGCATCACCAACATCATCATCAACATCATCATCATCATCATCACCATCGTCAACATCATCATCATCAGCATCAGCAACAGCATCACCGTCATCATCGTCGTCGTCATTATCGTCATCCTCATCCTCATCCTCCCTCGTTGTGCCTCCTCTTCGCCCCTTGTCTTGTCTCCCTCCTCCTCCGCAATCTCGTTCGCCTCCCCCCTTTTATCACCCTCCTCTGCACCCTGACCATTCCGCAGCATCATCATCAGCATCAACATAATCATCGTTTACATGACCGTCGTCAGTATCGCCATCATCACCATCATGAACATCAGCATCCTCACCATCATGGTCATCATCAACAGCATCCACATCATCACAACACCATACTCACCATCATCACATCGTCCTCATCATCATCATCAACATCATCAACATATTCATCATCAACATCGATATCACCATCATCATCAGCAGCAGCAGCAGCAACATTACCGTTATCGTCGTCATCGTCCCCTCTTTTTCCTCCTGCTCCCACCTCCTCCGTCTCCTCCTCCTCCTCCTCCTCCTCCTCTTCCTCCTTCTCCTCCCCACACAAACCTACACAAGCCACCAACGTACCCCAACCCCCCCCCCCTGAAATCCGCATGCACCTACAATATGACTACCTGAGCAAGCCCGCCGTAACCCCCACAACAAATACCCGAGACCTACCCAACCTCTTCTCCACGCGAGGGGGCGAGTTATACAAACCCCCCATACATACGAACCCGTCGCCAAATATGCAGCACTCTGGAACGAGCCGCCAAACACTGTCGGGCCACGCGCGTCGCAAACCTGCGCAAATCCGCTCGCAAAAGGAACGGCGACGGCAACACGACAAAAACGGGGGGCAGAACACGAGGAGGTGGAGGAATACGCGAGAGGTGGGCAAGACGGATGGAGAAAGACGGGGACGACATGGGCAAACACGCCATGCGCCACACTGTTCGATTCGCCCCATGGTGCTGCTGCTGCTGCTGCTGCTGCGGGCGACAAGCACCTGAAGAGGGGGGGGGGAATGGGCCACTGAAGAAGCCGCGAGGTCTCGCCTGACTGCCGCCTCCGCTGGACCTCCCAGGAGCCAACGAGACAAGACGACAACTGTGCGGTCGGCAGCCAGCCTCCCAGGGAGCCACGAGGTCTCGCCAGACGCCTGCTGGACCTCACAGGAGCGCGGCAACTGCGCAGCTGGGCCTGCCCGTTGGCCTGACGGTTGTGGTCGCCGTCGCCGACCCGTCGCCGCATGGGCCTGCGCTACCTTGCAATACGTCGCATTGCTTCGCATTGCGTGCCGCTGTTTCGCATTGCAGCGCATTGCGTGGAATTGCGTTGCGTTGCTCTCTTGCTCGGCATGGCTTTGCTTTCCTATTCATTGCTTTGCATTGCTTCGCGCCCGTGCGTTACAATCGCACTACTTTGCAATCGCATTGCGTTGCACGGCTTTGCCGTGAGATGCACTGGTTTGCGTTGCCATGCCGTGCTATGCCGTGTTTTGCATTGCGGCGCGCTGCTTTGCATCGTTTCGCATTGCTTTGGCCGACGGGACCACGCAGCTCACATAACATATGTTGCACCACGTAGACTGCATCAGCCTGCGTCCTAAAACAAACAGTTCGGATCTACACCCCCGCGAGGTGTCGGTCCCCCATGGTACAATATAACTTACATATGATTATGCTCGGCCGCTCGTATCAAACATGGACATGTAACATGCCAGCCAGGCAACTACAGTCCCCCTGATCATCCCTATCAAATGCAACTATGCGCGCGCACTCGTTTGTCACACATCGTAAATGTTCAACATTACTCCCCAACAACAAATGTCAAAAACGTCGGCACGCGCGCGACGTCGCGCGCGCATCCAAGAATCATTCACGAAATCGTGGATTCCATCCGGATATTTCAAGGCCGAATTCCGCGAACAAATATGAACCACCATGATGTCGCAAAAGATTTGCCCAACGAATCATGCGCTGGCGCTGTTACATCTCGGGCCAGAAACGGACGTTCACAGTTTTCATCAAACGCTATCACGCGAGCGTCTCGCGCGCGCATGTCGAAATCGTGCGAACGCATTTACGCGCGTGCCGGGGAGGATAGCGGGGGCACGATCCCTGTCAAATAACACCATGTAGGCCATTCGCCGGCGTCGGCCGCGCGCGCATGTCGAAATCCCTCCAAAACGTTCATCACCGACGCATGGAAACCATCATCGTCATCGTCGTGACCAGCATCGGCGCCGTCATTGGCCTTGCCGTCGCCATCTCATCATCACCATCATCGGACGGAGATAATTGCTTTGCCTACACGGAAACTAGCGGCCGCTAGGGGTACAAGTTGGGCGGGTTAGTGTTGAAGTGCTGCTATGATCTCACACCGAATCAGCTTGTGCAGGCGTTGCGCGAGGCCCGAATCACCAAGAGGGTGAAGAGATGTGCCAACCCAGTGACGGAGACCACTACCACTCCAAAAGCGGATGGTGAAGGGTGAGAGGAGGAGGACGAGGGTTGCTGAATGTTGCCTGTGTTGATGATCTCGACATCGTGCCCTTGGCTTTTTCACCCCGTGCCATGGTGGTGTGTGTCGTGTTGTCGCTTCGTGACGAGGCGGGTTAGTCGCTGCTCCCCTGGGCCAGAAGGCCGCGAAGGACTCGAAAGTGTTGCGTACAAAACGGTTGACTGTGTCAGTGGGTGCTGCCTCTTCTTGAGGTGCGCCCTGAGGCGTGGCAGGTGCTTCTGCGCGACCGCGCCAAGGAATGGGACTCAATCGTCTCGCGGCTTGTCCTCTCGGACTCTGTCTGCGACAAGCAGCGCGCCAGCCAATCCACACAGTCACTGGTTGCTTCACTCTTGTGTTCGCACTGATGTGACAGAGTGTTTGGGACCAGCCAGACTTCTCCAACTCATGTGCGCGTCAAGCATGGCGTGAAACACAGAGCATGCTCGTGCATGCTGGCCAGGATTGCAAATGTCATGCGTGTCACACCGTTTTCTCGATAAGACTCTGGCGAATTGCACGCGTGAACCGACGACCCAACCAGTGCGGGGAATGGGTGCTGACCTGTTGTGCACTTTTGCATGAAGAAGAAGTCGCTGCGTGAGACAAACGTAACGCGCTGGCGCTCCACTCTGCGCACGAGGCCAGTTTGAAACACCCCAGAAGCAAAGGGGCTGCTGACAAAACTGACGGGAGACGCTTCGGCCGAATGCTCCCGTAATCTGGGAGCCGCGAGCTGTTTGCTACTGTGTTTCATTCTTCAGCGTCGCACTGAGTACAGCGCAGGCAAAGGAGCGGGAGTAGAGGCCTCCCAGAATGGGTCCGAGTAGATGGGGTCGGAGGATCGCGCCGCATCGGCGACGCATCGGCGATACATCGCCGATGCATTGGCGACATCGGCGATGCACTGGCGCCGTCGGCGTGGAGAAAATCAGGATCCACATCGAGCCGCATCGGCGATGTATCGGCGATGCATCGGCGATGCGGCGTGATCCTCCGACCCCATCCACTCTGACTCCCATCTGGGAGGCCTGGAGAGAGGGGGGGGCGGGGGGAAGACGAGGAGGACCGAGCGAGGGAGCAGGGCGGGTGCGGAATGAGAGAGGAAGAGGAGGAGGAGGAGGAGGAGGAGGAGGAGGAGGAGGAGGAGGAGGAGGAGGAGGAGGAGGAGGAGGAGAGGAGTAGGAGGAGGAGGAGGAGGAGGAGGAGGAGGAGGAGGAGGACGAGGAGGAGGAGGAGGAGGACGACGAGGAGGAAAAGGAGGAAGAGGAGGAGAAGGAGGGAGGAGAGAGGAGGGAGGAGGGCGTCGGCGGCGGCGAACAGCAGACGATGACGACGGCGGCAGCGACGACCCCGCCCCAAGGCGGCCGGCACGCGCCTCCAGCTCCCGCTTCTGCGCCTCGTCGCTGACGCCCCGGGCCAGCTGCTCGCCCGAGCGCGCGAGGGCCTCTCTTCAGCGGAGCGATCCCCCCCTCCCTTGCCCGCCCGGGGGAGCGTAGACCTCGTCAAAGGGGGCGGCGGGGAAGGGGGGGGGGCACTGAGGAAGGAGGGAGCGAGGAGGGGGAGGAGATCGGAGGGGGGGAGGGAGGGAGGGAGGGAGGGAGGCAGGGAGGGAGGGAGGGAGGGAGGGAGGAGGAGGACGGATGCGGATGATGATAATAATGATGTAATAATGATGCTGGTGATGATGATGATGATGACGATAATAATAATAATAATAATAATAATAATAATAATAATAATAATAATAATAATGATGATAATGATGATAATGATGATGATGATGATGATGATGATGATGCTGATGCTGATGCTGATGCTGATGCTGATGCTGATGATGATGATGATGCTGATGATGATGCTGATGCTGATGATGATGTTGATGCTGATGCTGATGCTGATGCTGATGATGATGATGATGATAATAATGATGATGATGATGATAGTGATGATGATGATGATGTTGCTGATGATGTTGCTGATGATGTTGCTGATGATGATGAGGAGAAAGAACAGGAGGCAGGAAGAGGAGAAGGAACAGGATGAAGAGTACGGGTCAGGAGGAGGAGGCGGAGGAGGAGGAGGATGGAGAAGGAGTGGCAGGAGGTAATTAGGAGGCGGGCAAGGAGCAGCAGCGGCAAGAGGATGAGCAGGGGGACACGGGGAGGCGGAGGGGAAGAGGCAGCAACATGACGAGAGGCGAGCCACTGCGGTGCTCGTCTCCTCCGCTACCGCACCGGAGTCCCGATAGTGGCTCGCTGGTGCGCCTTTGCTTGCACAAGTGGTCACATCGAAGCTTGTCCGCACAGCTGAGTTCGAAGGGGAAGGAGGGAAAGGGGGAGAGCAGACGCAGCAACAAGAGAGGGAGATGGAAACGAGGAGGAGGGAGGACGAGGAGGAGGACGAGGAGAAGGAGGAGGAGGAGGAGGAGGAGGAGGAGGAGGAGGAGCAGCAGGGGTGGGAAGGGATAGAGGGAAGGAGAGTGATGGGGGGAGGAAGAGGGCGGGAGGGAGGGGGAGGGCATGGAGAGGGATGGGAGGGATGGGGGGAGGGAGAGAGGTAAAAAATAAGAGAGAGGAGGAGGATGGCAGGGAGAAGGAGAAGGGATGAGGAGAAACGAGGAGGCGTTCATGGAGCGGAGGAGGAGGAAGGGGGGAAAGGAGGAGGGAAGGCGATGGGGGCCTGAGAAGAACGATTGAGGAGGCGGAGGAGGCGGAGGAGCATGAGGGTGAGGAGAAAAGACCGGAGATGGACGAACTGGGGCGACACACTCGACCAATCGTGCGACAATCTTCGGACCCGAAGAGCGAGTTCGGTTCCAGACCTCTGGAGGCCTCCACGGACCTCTGGATTCCTCCACGGGCCTCCAAGTACCTTCAGGATAGCGAACAGTCATGCTGTCAACGTTTCTTTGTGTTTTGAGGGATAAAAAAAAGCGACCCTACCCTGGGTTACAAGTGCGTGGTCGGTAAGCCTCTTGGGACCCCCCGAAGCCTAGAGAGCCACCAGGACACCGCACATCATGCAAGGTTTTCCCTCTCAACCCACAGGGTTTTCAGCGCACGGCGCCTCGTAAATCAGGGTAGGGGCGTTTGTGTTATGCCCTTGAGTGCTGTCTGTATGTCGATGCTGGCTATCCACACTCCTTTCTGTGGGCGGCTCGATTCTGCTGCGCCTCGGATTTTTCTTGCGGAGCACACGGCTGTGAAAACGCTGACACCGGTGAGCACGTGGACGGCGCCAAAAGGTCATGCGCTGCGTCGACCCTACTGTTGCGCAGGAGCTCTCGTGGCACTGTTTATCTGGTATGATTTGGGCTTCGTTGGGCGTGGCTTAATGGGGGGGTCATAAATGGGGGGGTCAGAAACGGTCCCCTTTCGTGCCCCTTTCGGGCCCCTCTGGAGCCCCAGGGGGCTCGCTCGTTTAGGTACCGTTTGGGTACTTTTCCGGACCACCCTCGCCACCCCCCACGTATGACCCCCCATTACCCATTACGCAACGCCCAATTTCGGCATGACGATGTGCAACCGGCTGGCGGATGTCAAGGCGAGCATCATCGGCACCAGGGCCCGAGCGAACAGGTCGGAGAACCCGTGCGAGGAGCTATCGAAGAGGACGCCCCTTCCAACCGACGACGTCGGGGCCGCGGTGCGCGATTGCATCGAGCAGCACAGGAAGCAGGAGCGCGAGAGCACCCGATCCTGAAGAAGGGCGCGAGCCAGGACCCGACCACTGGGCAAGCGGACGGCGGCGGCTGCGGTCAGCAATCTGGAGGGCCTCTCCATCCTCCCTCCCAGGCGACCGCACGGGATGCAGGAGCAATTCACATCCCTGGTATATCCAAAGGGGGGCTAAACTTAGGTCGGGCACGTCCCCCTACCAGGCGGAGCTTGGACGAAAAATCAACAAACAAAATCAAACGATACCCCCAAATAGTAAAGATAGTCGAAACATCGCCCCCTGACTATCTTCTTACTACTGTTGAAAACTCCTCCTGTAGAGGGACATGCCCGACTCAAGGCTACACAAGTATCGTCTTCGCCGAGTCCGGGACGACGCTGGAGCGCGACAGCGCCGCCGAGCTCCTGCGGGACGCTGGCCGTCGGAGCGGGGCAAAGCAGACCTGGGCGAACCATGAGCGGCCTTCCCATCAAGCGCGCCGCCGGAAACTTTGGTTCCGGCCTGAAACACATTCTCAAGAACTCGTGGGAATTCCCGCACGCGATCTCGGCCTCCCATTAAGTCGGGCCTGTCCCTCTACAGGGGGGATATTCAAAAATAGCCAAACAATAATATGGGCATGATTTCGTTTAACCATCTTTGAATATGTTTGGAGTATTGTTTTGGTATTGTTTACTTTTTCGTCCGAAATCTGCCTGTAGGGCGACATGCCCGACTTTAAGTCTCCGATGAGGCTCCCTACGCCGTCGCAGCTGGCGGTGAGCACGCTTTGAGGGAGCACGCGGCGAAGAACGCAACCGGCTCCGCTTGACAAGGGCCTGGGAGACATGGACGGAGCTGCATGCGCAGCCGCCCGTCGGGGAGCTCCGGAAGACACCCGAACACCTGCGGGCCCCGCGCGGCGAAGGCGTGAAAGACTCCCTGGGGCACTGCGAAGGGCAACTACAGGGGGAAACCAAGACCGCCGCCGCTGCGCGCCCAGGGAAACAGGAACTGGCCCCTCGCATGTTTCACCGGCGCCGGCAGAAGGCGATGCTGCCACTATGAGCCTGCATGATTTGCGAATTCACGACAGCATGGATGCACATACTGAAGACGCGGGTGACCGCGACAACAGCCACGCAGAAGATTTCGATTACCGCGGTGGGCCGCTGCGCCACTGCAGGAAAGACGTCGCCCTTGGATCTTGGAAGGTGGAGGGGCTGACAGAGTCCAGGATCGACAGGATCGAAGAACTCCAAGAGTACATGCGGACATTCAACACAGATGCTCTCGCAATCCAAGAGACGCAGAAGCCAGAGTCAACACATGAGGTCACAGACTCCGTTCATCTTTGGTACTTTCTGGGGACGCGGGCGACCAGGACAAAGCGGGGGTTGGATTTCTCAGATTTCCAAAGATACGTACAAAGCATCAGTTGATCATTTGAATCAAAATGGTGTCGTCGAGGGCGCGAAGCCTCGCGCTTGCGGGGGCAAGGTGCCGACTTCCATCATATACGCCCCCCGCGCAACGGCAAGCCGTACGAGGCCAGGAGAATTTTACCAGTCGCTTGGCACCCTTCTCCGAGACATCTCTGGACTTTGAGGGCCAATACTTCTCGGAGATTTCAATGCGAGGCTGCACAGGCAATTCCCGTGCGACTTACTACAAAGTAAGCCGCATGTCTTCGGCTGCCCGCCTGCGCAGCATGATCCAAATTCTAATCGTGGTCTGCTGCTTGAGCTGCGCGGGGCACATGGGCCTGTGGTCCGAGTAACGTGCTGCAACATCCGAGTAACGACCGCCCGCCAGAGGCCCGAGTAACGTGCTGCAACATCGGTTCGAAGCCTTCTGATTCAGCTCGTCCAGAACATTTGGACCACATCGACGTTCTACTTTGCCCTGTGGACCGGGGCAGTCCTCTGTCAGCGATTTTGGTAATAATAAGGATGCGGCCGTTGCGTCGCACCACTTCCTGCCCCTCTGCCGCGTGCGCGTGGGCGTTGAGAAAACCATTTGGGAACGAAACGAAGAGCTGGATTTACTGGCGTTGTCTTGCAGCGAGGTGGCGGACGATTCCAATGCCGCAACACAATGGCAGATTTACATTATGACCGGTGTACTCTTCATGAGTTGAACACTGCGATGGTAGCTGCCACACGCTGTTGGCGAGTGCTTGCGTGCTGTTCCGGCAAGGCGCCATCAGCAATGGATCAGCAATGCGACCCTAAAGCTGACCGCGCGCAGAGGGAGAGCAAGAAAGAGTGGAAATTCTGACAGTGACAAGCGACTTCACGGCATGACCAGAGCATCGCAAAGCACACCTAGAGAAGTGGCTCCACGATCTCCTCGGCTCCAGCGCGACTGGGCCGAGATCCCGAAACTGCGTCAAGGCGCGGTAGCACGGCAGGGCCGCATAAAGGACTCGAGCGGGAACCTGGTTGACAACGATCAGCGGGCAGACGCGCATGCAAACTACTTTTCCAGAACTCAATGGGCTTTGTGACCCGTGACCGCTGTCGAACACGCTGCCCCTGCAGGCGCAATCCTCCCAGTCGCTGAGGGCCCCATTCGTCCGGAAGAGGTTCGCAATGCTGCGCGAAAGTTGAAATTGAACAAATCTTATGTAAACGATGGTTTCCCGGGAAGGTTCTGGAAGGCTATATGCGCGCCGGGGACTGCGGCTCTCGAGTGGGCTTCACTGATATGCAGCAAATGCTGGAATGACAAGGCCGTGCCGGATGCGTGACACGAAGCAGTCGTCATCGCGTTGTTCAAGAATGGCAACCCGGCCAGGTGCCCCAACTGATGGCCAATATCGTTGCTGCCAATCGGATACAAGATGTGCGCAATGGTTCTCCTCAGCCGCTTGATGGACGCAGGTGCCGAAGACAGAATCTGGGACACGCAGTTCGGATCCCGATGAGGGCACGGTACCACGGACGCGCTGTTCACTGCTCGCAGATTGATAGAAAACGCCTGGAGTTCTCGCTTAGGCAAACTGGTCCTGCTGGCGCTGGACTGGGCGATGGCGTTTGACAGCGTCTTGCCAGCCGCTTGGGTGCAGGCGCTCGTCCGCATCGGCATCCCCGGGCATTGCGCCGGGAAGGTTTGGGCTATCTACACAGACAGATCTTCTCGAGTGAGGGAGGCGGGCCAGACGTCCGAGCCATGGCCACAAGCCTCTGGCATCTCCCAAGGCTGCCCTTTTTATCGCCGTTCTTGTTCACAATCGCCACGACGCTCCTCATGAGCGATGCGAAACAGGCTTCCTAAGCACACGGAGTAAGACAAGACGTCTGGATACCCGTGAGCGAACTCATCTACGCCGACGACATCCTGGCCGCTGAAGCCAGCGATAACAATGTGTCCAAGCTGATGGAGGCGATCCACTGCGCGTGGTCCAAGTACGGGCTTGCCTCCAACTGGAGCCAGCTTGAGACCGTACCAAAATGCTGCGAGACAGCCTTGACGAAGCCGGACGACACGCCCATCCCGATCAAGGACAACATTGTCTGCTTAGGAGGACTCTTGAGCTCTACGGGTCGGAAAAGGGCATGAAAACAGCCGTCGGCTAGGCATGGCCACCGCAGACTTTGAGACGCTGTGCAAAGTGTCGAAGCACGCGCGGCTGCCCCACGACAGGTAACTAGCAATTTTCACGCGCGTGTAAAATCTGATCTGCTATGGTGTTGACACTATACTCGTACATCAGCCGTGTCAATAATGAAACGGTGTTGACGCGATGTTGCGCTCATAAGCTGGGCGACATATTGACGTGCAGGCCCTGATGCCAAAGAACAACCCCGTGAGCAGGTGTATTTTCCAGCCCGGCATTTTGGAGCTCGTGCAGGCTGGGGCTCGCCGCAGGGGACGGCCCCGCAGCACGTGGAAGCTTCAGGTGTACGACTTTGCTTGCCCGACGGCTGGCAGCGAGGAAGCTTTGCACACATTGTGGCATCAAGGGCTGAACGTTTAGCTGTTTTACGTACGTGGCTTGTAAATTGATGTGTTATGGGTGTCTCTGAAGAGGAGCTGCGAAAACTCATCCCTGCCGCCTGCCATCCAGGTGGTGTCGTCACCCCCTCTTCCGTCATGCGTCGCTCCTCTGCCTGCTTCTCGCTCCTGCTCGTCCTTCGGGCTGTCGCCTGGGCTTCGGCCTCCTCCGCCTCCCCCCTCTCGCGGCTGTGCTTCCCTGTCGCTTGCCCTCCTCCTTCCCCCCCCGCTCCGGGCTCGTCCTGGACCCGGGGTGTCGCTCCATCCTTTGCCTCCCTGCTGCGGTTGCTCTCCTGGGTCGTCCAGCTTGCGGGCATCATGGCGAGACGTGTAAACGTCCCGTGTACGTTGAGCCAGCGACGCCGAAGGCTTCGCATCGCTGGTCGCGCTGTCATAACTATGCCACGCCGCACAGGATATGTCACCAGCGCGCTGCGCATCGCCACGGCGCAGTGCGAGCGGCCCAGTCGTAGACGCCGTCGCTTCACCCCCTTTTGCCAGTGCATCTCTGACATGCACGGCTTCTCTCTCTCTCTCTCTCTCTCTATCCCTCTCTCCCTCTTAGTTCATGTATATATACACACATCTCTGCGGCATTGAAGCGGTGGAGGCTGCAGAAGCCTCCCATGATTGCAGCACGTGAATGCACATATTTGAAGTGTGCTAATCCTTCCGATTGTATTTGTGAGGTGCGTCAACTTGCTCTGATACTAACTATGCCTGCCCTGGCCTTTCTTTCGAAATTGGTGACCTCCATCTACAAATGCCTGTTCGTATGCTCCGCAGTGTGGCCTGTTGACCAGAGTGAACAACATCAGGCCGATTCCGGTTGCAAGGTCGTGCCCATTCCGACTTTATGCGGCAAGTATGGAATTGATCAGTCAGAGAGCGTAGCATGCTGCGCATGGTGGCAGCAGTGCCGATCTGACCGAGCGCTGGTCCTTGACGTCGATCGTCGGCACACGTCTTTTGAAAGCCGTCCACCGCAAACAGAACCACTCCTGGAGATGACTACACAGACTTCTGGACTTAACCACGCGTGCTTACCACATTCTGGGACGTCAGAATCTTAAACAAGAGCAGGAGGTGGGCAGGGAGGTGAACCCCCCCGGGGCCCCCCCGGGCGCCCCCGGCCCCAGCGGGGAAGGGATCAAGCGGACGGGCGGACCCGCAACGAGGAGGGCGCGATCCGTGAGGTCAAAAAACGTCCCCTCCGTCTCCTCCTCCTCCTTCTCCTCCTCCCCTCCTCCTCCTCCTCCTCCTCCTCCTCCTCCTCCTCCTCCTCCTCCTCCTCCTCCTCCTCCTCCTCTCGGTGCCTCCTCCTCTCGGTGCCTCCTCTCTCCGTCCTCCTTCCCTCCTCTGGCCCCCCCCCCCTGCGAGGTGCGGCCTCGAGCACCTCGGTGTGCTGCTTGCCGCACTTCGCCTCTCCCGCCCCGATCGGGGCATCAGGCCAGCAGGGAGGATCATCGAGCCAAGAGAGGGAGCCAAGAGAAGATCGCCCTGCCTCTCCCTCCTTCAATGCCTACCTCCTCCTCCTCCTCTTCTCCTCCTCCTCCTCCTCCTCCTCCTCCTCCTCTCCTCCTCCTCCTCCTCCTCCTCCTCCTCCTCCTCCTCCGTCTCGTCCTGCCAAGTGAAAGAAACTGCTCGATGGTCGGCCATGGGCGAGCCGCCGCCACCGCCGCCGCCGCCCTCGCCGCCGCCACCATCTCCTCCTCCTCTTCCTCCTCCTCCTCCTCCTTCTCCCCCTCCTCCTCCTCCCCCTCCTCCTCCTCCTCCTCCTCCTCCTCCTTCTCCTCCCCTCCTCCTCCTCCTCCGCCGCCAGGCGCAGGCTGCGCTACCAGAAGGACGTTCTCCTCCTCACGCAGCACCACGGTTCTGCTGCGCCGATGGGAGCTGATGACGCATGCACATGGCTTTGCAGGTTCTGTGTGCATGAAGCGAGTGGGGAAAAGGTTCTTCAACAAGCCGATGCGCGCGACGTGCTGGCACTGCAAGAGGCCGAATTCCGCGTGCTTCCACAGCTACAAGGCGCCTGCTGCACCCAGCAAGCGCAGTGGCAGAGCTGGAGGTGCCGCGGCCAGGAGCGCCACACCTTGGGAGCTCCAGGCCCAGCTGCGCCAGGCACAGCAGCAGATCAATAAGATTGTGGCCCAGCAGCAGCATTTTCACGAGATGGAGTCGACTCTTGTTGGGGCTTCTCGTGATGTTGATGGTGATGACAATATGGTTGAGCCCTCCCTCGATGAAGGAGAGACATGGTCAAGGACACACGAACTCGACAAGCATATTGAACTCGCAGGTAAAGCAGATGGTGAACTCTGGGTTACGTTACGGTCAGCACTCAAGTCCGAGAGAGAAGAGCTTCAACATCAGCCCAACAAGCATAAGCCTGTGTCGGCTCAGATGTCCTCGCTCAATAGGCAGTTGCAGCACGAGATGCAGCGCATTGAGAAGCAACGTGAGGGCATCAGTGAGCAGCAGAAACACATTGATGAGCTGTCAGCGTCGTTGGAGAGGTCTCAACAGGAGCTGGCAGAGCGAGAAGTCAAAGTGGAGGAGATGCGCAGGAAGCAGATCGAGCTTGCGAAGGCTGCCGCCCGCCCCCCCCGATATTGCAGATCGCGAGCGCCCACACGATGCCCAAGTTTCCGCCTTTGGACTTGACTGTGCTGCCTTGGGGGGGAGTCTCAAGCAGTTGGGCGCAGGTGAGGCCGCTGAACCCATGGCTGACGAGATTGCGAAGCACCCGCCGCAGCTGGTCACGAACGCCCGGATTCATGTCATTGGGTCGCCCAGGCAGGCTGCCCCAACTGCTGGTGACACTGCTCCTCCTGATTCTGGGCTTCAGACTCCGCCTCCTCCTGAGCAGCCTCCTCGGGTCAACGCTCGCGAGGCGGACTTGCAGGTACTTCGATGGCATTTTGGCTCGGGCGGGCATGGAACCGAGCAGCGAGGCGTCGGACCCGGACGTGCGCGAGGCTGCCAAGCAGCTCTTCCCGTGGAGGCAGGCACCGCAGCGTGAAGCCGATGCGCCTTTCTAAGATGCGTTGGCTCTCATGCTTGTGGCTTCTCTTGGTTCCAATGGCAACTGTTTTAGAGATCAAAAGAATGATTACCACGGTGGATGCGGATAGTGCTGGGCCTTTGTTGAGATACATTGACAATGCTAGGTCAGCTGTGGCTCTTGCGCAGGAGCTCCGTACGGATGATGCAGGTCTCAGGGCTCTTGATGGCAACATGCGAGACACAGGATTCCATGGTGTCTACGCTCCATCGCTGCGAACGGACAAGGATGGTCTATCTGCTGGAGTAGCCATTCTGGTTCCTAAGGTGGTTAATTACTATTACGGACCCTCCTGGTTTGAAGTCTTGCGTTCTCTACCCAGGACGCTGTGCTGCTGCCAGAGTTTCTTGGGGATGCGACGGTGGACCGGTGGTCATTTCTGTATATGTTCAGGACAGTGTCGGGCTCAATGAGGAGAACCAGGCGCTGTTGTATGAACTGACTTGCTCCATGGGCAGGCTCAATGACACGGCCATTCCTTTTGTCGCCGGCGGTGACTGAAACATTCTCACGACGGTCAGGCATGGCTGGAGCAGCTTCGCAATGTGTTCTTGGTTCCAGATGTGGCGACATGCATAGTGAACAATTCTACTACAGGCAATGTGTATGATTATTTCGTTGCTTCTGATAACCTGGCGGCGCGAATTGAACCTCCAATTGTAGATGAGGCTGCCGGCTTGCCTGTTCATAAGCCCGTCGGTCTGCCGATACTGAATGGACAACGTGTCATCTGGATGAGAGTGCCTCGCGAACCTAAGGCGCTCCCGCGCAAACCCCGCATAGGCTGCTCCAGGCCTCCGCCCGATTGGGGGCCTGCGCCCCATGCCGTGCGGCAGGCGGAATCACTTAAGCAGCTGCAGAACGCATGGGACCTCACGGCAACGCTTCTCGAGCAGGAGCTACTTGGACGCTGCGACATCATTGGAGCTGCGGCGAAGGCATACGCGGGCCGAGGAGGGCCAGTTCGCACTAAGCTCGTGGAGGCCAAGTGATCTGCTCCAAAACTTCGTCCGCATCTTTCATTGGAAGGGCAAGCCTATGTTGCCGCGTCTAAGTGGACCAAACACTTCATGAAAGTAAGAGCATGTTGGGTCAATATGATTTGGGAATCTGTCTCACTACATGGAGGCCATCGCTGTTTCCCTTCCAGACTGTACTTCTCCGTGGCCAGGTAAGAAGATCCATGCCGATGCAGATGGCGATGGATGGCAGGTTGTTCGGAGATACGGCTCTGCAAAAAAAAGGCCGTGCTTTGCAAGCACTTTGTTCCCGCAATGGAGCCACTGGACAGGTTGGTTCAATCGATGACGGATGTCGATGGCTTCATGCGACAACTGCTACGACAGGACGAGGTACTGGCGTTGCTCGCTGATGGCGCACGGGCTTTTTCTGCAGGCTGGTCCTCGTTCGTTTACCCGTGAGGTTTTTGATGAGGTCTCGTATAGAGTTGTGGAGACGACGGATGAGTATCTGGCGAAGATTGACAGAGAACGAGCCGTGAGCTGGCGACGATGGATCCGCGATGCCTTTCTCCATGGTGCTGGTCAGGCACGTCAGTTGACAAGACTGCAGGGTCTTCAAGCCAACATAGCTTCTACACAGCGAATGCACCCATTTCAGATGGCATACGATCAGATGAGGAAGTGGCGGGAAGTTTGGTCATGTCATTACACTCACGCGCTGCAGCTTCCTAGCTCGAGCTGGGAATGACATGAATTGCCGTTCATATATGTCTCTCATGTTCGTGGAGCTGCTGAGGCGTTTCCTTGGGATTCTGCAACGGGGCCTACTAGGATCCAAATGAGGTCTTTGGGATGCGTCTCGGATATAGGTCTGCAGGTTGTCCCGGAGCTCTTCGTGGGGTGCGAGAGGCTGCTCGCGTGGCCCGCCAGTAGGATGGTGAACGAGGTGGTGAGATTAGGCAAACCTGACGGGGGCACTAGGCTCATTACGCTCATTGACAGCATGGTTAGACTCTGGGCACGCATTCGGAGGCCAATTTTGAGATCTTGGGTAACTCGCAATGGTAGTAAGCATGTCTGGGGCAACCGTCGAGGCTTCGTTTCCATCTACGCGGCGCATGAACACGACCTGCAGGCTGAGGTGACAACGAGGTTGGGACAGCAGTCTGTTCGCATTGTGATCGACATGTGGAAATGTTTGGAGAACGTTTTGTTTGCTGCCCTGATGGCAGAGGCAGTGGTGGTGCAATTTCCTATGAGATTGTTGTGGCTCTGTTGGATTCTTATTATTCTCAGCCGAGGGTCGTCAAGGCTTCTGGTTATTGGAGCCTGCTTACCGCTACGAGGCAAAGGATTTTGCCAGGCTGCACCCATGCCACCGCATTGTTGAATATCCTGACGCTACGCGCCATCACCAAAGCTCACATGAGGCACGCCAATGTCATTCCCAGGTTTTTGGTAGATGACAACACTTGGCAATCGGCAATCGGCGGGCACTGATCTCGCTGGCATGTCTGAGTTGTCTGCGGCAGTCCAGGGATTCAAGGAAGATATTCGGGAGCTTGGGCTTATTGTTCAGCCTCAAAATGCTGGATGGGTCCCCGCCGCTAAGATCTCCGGGAATTATGTTGGGAGTAAGGTCGGGCTCTGCGACTAGCGGCCAAGAAATGGATGAGAAACCTTGGGCATAAACTTTCTGGGACAAAACCTATCAGGAAACGAGCCACTAAACGACTCAGCAAGCTTCGTGCAAGTATGCCGCGTGTTCTGATGCTGCGCAAGAACGCTGGTGCCAAGACAACAGCGTTATGGCGCGCAGGGCTTCTTCCTGCTGCAGCGCATGGCGCTGCGGTAGCGGGTGTTTCTGATGCGGAATTGGCGCGTTTACGACGCACGGCTGGTGTTGTTGCTGGTCGCGTTTCCTCTTCTACTTCGCTCGCGCTAGTTGTTCGCCACGCAGAAAGATAAACCACATGATCCTATGTATCATGCCACCCTGGGGCCCGTTAAAGCTTATTCTAACTTTGTCTGGGACCAGCGAATTTGCCTGGGGCGGCCCCAGAGGGCCTGGATGGAACTCGACAAACAGATGAAGTCTCGGGCATCTTGGAACGACGCTAGAGGACCGATCTCAACGAGGTGGCTCACACTAGCTAGGAAAGGCTGGATCATGGTGTCTAGTACTACGATACGTGACGATAACATGTACATGATAGATATGATGAACATCCCCCCCACCAAATCGGCGTCAACTCTTATCCGCGAAGGTTTCCAGAGGTGGCGGGTGCGCAAAACTGTTCGCTATCACCAGGATGTCTGCTACGGCGATGAGGTTATCTGGATGAGAATGCTACGCAGATGCCTTGGTGGAGCCAAAGCGATTGTTCGTGTGCCACGGTTTGCGGGTGCCTTGCGCAGTCTGTGGCCTGGAGGTCTCTGGACACGCAGTCGGCTACACGATGCAGGGTGCCAGATTTCGCCCGGAAGTCAGTGGCGTTCGGATGGCAAGCGCGACTCGTTAGGACATCAGATTTATGATTGCCCCCAGCTACATGAGGACTCCCCAGAACACGCACTGCGTTGGGCCCGAAGCTTGGTGGGATCTACCTGTTTCTGAAGAACAAAGGGGTTGGCCCTGGGGGCTTCGGTTGGGACAAGTTTGAGTTGTGTATAGGCATGCCGCTGGCTCCCCAACCACTCCCGAAGGTCCCGATGAATATGCCCGTGTTGTTCTGGGGTGACTGGTGTTCGGACAAGTCTCAGTGGACCACTTTTGTGTATTCCGACGGGTCTGGAATGGCCCCTAGTTGGCCCGAGCTTCGCAGGTGTGGATGGGGGTTCTGCCAGCTAGGGGACAACGGCATGCCTGTGCGAGGGGCCTGGGGGGCGTTACCACGTCCTGTGCAAACTGTTGGCCGTGCAGAACGCATGGCGCTTCTGCAGGCGCTACGATATCTTCTGGAGGTTTCGCTCGCGGTCACGGACCCTCTCTCTTTGCATGATGAGATTACGGCCTGGCACGAAGACCCGGCAGACGCTCAGGCTACATATGCCGACCTATGGCGCCACATATTCTTTACAGTCGGCGGCAACGAGGTGCCAATATCGCGTTGTATTCCAGCGCACATGTCTCTGGAAAAGAGTCCCAGTGTCGAGCACCCATTTGAGTTCTATGTAGGTAATGGATGGCATGATGTCTCTGCTAAGTGGGGAGCTCTTGAACATGCCTGTCCGAAGGTTCTTGAGATGCACTACGAGGGGCTCATTGCGGACGAGAAACTTCGGGCTAGGTTCTTCTCTTGGGTGTCGTCGAAAATCGCGAGACGTGATGTGGACAGTGACCGTCCGTGCCGTGCGATTAGACACTCATCTGGTAGGCCCCCCAAGTTGGCCTTGACGGAGCATGACATTGTTTATAAGATGGTTCAGAGGGTGCTAGCTTTCCAATGTAAGGCTTGCTGGTTCCTGTCCAGGACCCCTGCCAGCCTGCTGAAATTGTTGTCTACCCCTGTGTGCCCCGACTCCCCAGCAAAGCCTTCTGGCGTCGAGGGATCGGGAGTTGCAGCAGGCTCTGGGGATGAGGACGCAGGCCCTTGATGTAGAAGCTTCCCTGCGCAAAGTAGATCTAGGTGTTCATCAGGCGGCCAGTGGTTCTGCTCCATGCGAATCTGACGGTCCTCCCGCCGACGTGATCGTTTCTCTGCGTGGGCACCAGGTGTTGGTGACTCACAGTGGCATGGTGTGCACCCTCTGTGGCTCCTATCAGGCGTCTTTCCAGGCTGCTAATTGTAACCTTGACACAGGATGTAAAAGGCCTTCGCAAGAGAATTCAGCTCTGTATCGGCAACGGTAGAAAATTCGTGCTGTCAGAGCGGGGAAGCGTCCCACGACGGGGGCTAAGTTCGTCTAAGTTTTGATGCGTTTGGCCCGTGCTCCCGCCCCCCTGGTTGCTCGACTCGGCTGATGTTGCGTGGTCCTCCTCCTCCTCCTCCTCCTCCTCCTCCTCCTCCCATCCCCCTCTTCCTCCTCCTCCTCCTCCTCATCATCATCATCCGCCTCCGCCTCCTCCACCTCCTCCTTCTCCTCCTCCTCCTCCTTCTTCTCCTCCTCCTCCTTCTCCTCCTCCTCCTCCTTTCTTCGCCTCCGCCTCCGCCTCCGCCTCCGCCTCCTCTTCCACCTCCTCCTCCTCCTGCTCCTCCTGTTCCTCCTGCTCCTCCTGCTCCTCCTGCTCCTCCTGCTTTTTATGCTCCTCCTCTTCCTCCTCCTCCTCCTGCTCCTTCTCCTCCTCCTCCTCCTCCTCCTCCTGCTCCTCCAGTCCTCCTCCTTATAGACTCGCACCCCGAAGCCAATGTTCAAGGCGGGCCGGGCGTTTCGCCCGAGACGTCCTCACCATTTATGACTCGGCAATTTTGAAAAATGAAAGAAATTTCACAAATGGAGGGCGGGCCGCTTTCAAAATGTGGCCCTCGCCTTAGAGCCGCGCACATTCGTTTTCAACAACTTTGCAAGAGCTTCATGGATTGAGGGCGGGTGGTTTTCAAAAGTGGCACTCGCCTTAGCGCCGCGCACATTCTTCTAAATTGTTGCATGGGCTTCACAGATTGAAAGCGGGTCGTTTCCAACATGTGTCTGTCGCTTTGGCGCCGCGCACATTCGTTGTAAAAAATGCAAGGGTTTCACGGATTGAGGGCGGGTGGTTTTCAAGATGTGGCTGTCGCCGTGGCACCGCGCACGTTCGTTTTTTTTTTGTTTAAAAACAATTGCAAGAACTTCACGGGTTGAGGACGGGCCGTTTTCAAAATGTGGCTCTCGCCGTAGCGCCGCGCACATTCGTTGTAACAATCTGCAAGAGCTTCACGGATTGAAGGCGGTTCCTTTTCAAAATGTGGCTGTCGCCTTAGCGCCGCGCACATTATTGTAAAAAGTTGCACGCGTTTCACGGCTTCCCGTGATCAGCGTACCAGAAATTCTGTGTTGGAAGGATTCAGGATTATGCGGGCGCAACAATAATGTTGGTTCGCTGTGTTGAATGCCCAAGAAGGGCGTCTGGCACGATTCTGGATCGACACAGCGCAGCACTCAGGTTGATATATACGTGACATTGAAATCCAGAGAACAATCTTTTGGCACGCTTCAGGATCTTCAGCTGTTCTTCCAGCGAGGCAGTTCCCTCAATGGGAATGAACCGTTGCAAAAGCCTACGCATGAAGAGGGAGCTTGGAGGGAGGGTTAGTTCCAATATCGTTGATGACTCTTGGGTTTCCACTGGTCCTCCTCCTCCTCCTCCTCCTCCTCCTCCTCCTCCTCTTCCTCCTCCTCCTCCTCCTCCTCCTCCTCCTCCTCCTCCCCCTGCGACATAACCCCTCAGAACCTAGAGTCGGCACCCCTTGCTGAGAGAGGGGAAAGACGGGAGGACGGATTTGCGGGAAGGGGTCGGGTGGGAGGGTAGGGGAGACGACATGAGGGGAGGAATGGGGAGTCGAGCACAGGAGAGAGGGCTGATAGAGAGGCAGGTGAAAAGAAACAAGGGGGGGCGAGTAAGGGAACGTAGAGGGAGGGGAGATTATGAAAAGGAGGAGATGGGCCTAAGGTTCACCCAACATAGCCCAGAGGGTCCCCAAGGCGGCGCAAGACGGGTTGGAGAAGTCCAACACGGCCCAAGATGGCGACGAGACAACCCGAGAAAGCCCCCCCCCAAGGCCCCACGGGGTTCCAAGATGGCTCAAGAGGGCCCAAGATGCTTTCAAAAGACACCCAACAGGCTCTCCCAAGTGACCAACCTAAGAGACCTCATATGCTTCGAAGAGGCCCCTGATTAAGGGCACAGCCATGGTGGCAGGATGGGACGAAGGCCATGTAGCAGACAGGCGAGGGGAGAAGGAAAGGAGAGGAAAAGGGGAGGTGATGGGGTCAGACGATGGGGGGGGTGGAGACGCGAGAATGTTCAGGAGGGGACAGGGCGTGGACGATGATGACGTATGACGATGCTGATGATGACCTCCTCACCCCCTCGTGTCACGGCCACCCAATCTGTCCCCCGCTCACTCCGCCTCTTCCTCCTTCGTCCCTCTCGCCTCCTTGGTCTCCACCTCCTTCTGCCCCTTCCCCCTCCCAAACCTCTGATTACCTCCTCCCCTACGTCTCGCCTCACTCCTCTTTTTCCTATATCCCCTCCCTCCTCCCAACCATCTCTTCCCATTCCTCCTCCAGACCACTTTCCTACTTTATCACTTCTCCCTTCTCCTCCTCCTACTCCTCCTCCCAGCCGTCTTCGCTGCCTTCCTCACCAGCCTCGCCATCATCCTCGTCGTCCACCTCGCCCCGCTCCTCCTCCTCTTCCTCCTCCTCCTCCTCTTTCTCCTCCTCCTCGTCCTCCTCCTCCTCGCCCCCTCTCCCGACGACGACGACGACGACGACTACGACGACCCAGGGGCCTCCAGGGCACGGTGGCGCTGGTCCGTCTCGCGGCGCAACTTCTGCTCCAAGGCCAGCACCCCAGCGGAGACCTCCCTCCCCGGCTTCCCCCTCCTCGAGGAAGACACGGTAGCATTACTGCAGTCAGGGGCTCCCTACCCGAAGGAACGCTAGATAAGAAACGAAGGGCCCGCTTCAGCCCCGCCAGTCCCTGGGTGCACGAGGATCACCAGAGGAAGGCGTGTAAGAGGACCCGATACGGGAGTATCGAGCCCCTTCCTAACAGGACCGGCTCCTTCTTTCGGCATATTGACTGTGATCGCTTCCATGCACTGACAATGCGCGCGCTTGCTCACACTGCTTTCGCGTAGTTCTTGATCACGCAACAGGTACTAGATTCGCTATGTTCGCTATTCTCTTAAAGCTTCCTCGACCAGACCGTCCTCAATCTGTCGAACCCGTTGCTCTTTTTGCAGCGTTGGCCACATTGCAGGATCGATGCTCCTGCCCCAGCGAGCGCCATCTTTCTGGGTCGGAGTGATTCCTCTTCACTGCCGCTCACCCCTTTCCCCTCCCCTCCTCCGTCCTACGCTGATCCTCCTGCTCCTCCTGCTCATGCTCCGCCTTCTCCATCCCTACTCCACCCTCTCGCACCATCGAACGTGTTAGGGCGGGTCGGCCAAAAACGACCAAGCCTCCATCTCAATTCTCTTTTATTCGTCGTTCCCGGTCCTCGTCCTCGTCCTCGTCCTCCGCCTCCGCCTCCGCCTCCTCCTCCTCCTCCTCCTTCTCCTCGCAGGGGCGGAATGAACTCTCCCCTCTGGGCCGACCTCCTCCTACTTCTCCGCTCCCTCGCCAGACCTCTGAGGCCGAGCTTTTTCACAGCGCGGACCCCTGGACTGGAGGTCTCGACCACTTCCCCGAGACCTGCTTTCCATCCCGAGTCGTGCTTGAACGGTCCTGGAATCTGGTACGCGCCCCCGGCGGCAGGAAGTGACCAGAATTAGGCCGGGCCTGCCCCCATAAAGGCCGATTTTCGAGGACAAATTGAAAGCAGTCAAAAAATATTCAAAAATATTCGAGAATACTAAGAAAAATCGTCTCCAGACTATTTCTTTACTATTTTTGCACATTCCTCCTGTAGAGGGACAGGCCCGACTTACGACTAGAAGCCCTCCTTTGTGATGTGCTTCGAGACGGGATGAGACCTGTGCCTGCGTCCTCGCCCTCCTCCTCCTCCTCCTCCTCCTCCTCCTCCTCTCCTCCTCCTCCTCCTCCTGCTCAAAGGCGGGCTGCCATTCAGTTGGGCGTGTCCCTCTACAGGGGGAATATCCAAAAATAGTCAAAAAATAGTCTGGGGACGATTTTTTTAATACTATTTTTGAATATTTGGGGGGTGTTTCTTGAGTATTTTATATTTTTCGTTCAAAATCCCCCTGTGGGGGGACACGCCCGACTGCAGGCTGCCACCCCCCCCCTCTGTGAGCCGACCTCCTCGATGCCCCGCCCCAGGTCGCCGGCGCTCTGCATGAAGAACTGGTGCAGCCGGGCAACCTGCGCGGGGAGGGACGGTGCGCGCGGGCATCGCATCGCAGGTCCTGCGCAGAAAATGGCGTGGACAGATCTAGCATGCACACACTGGGCAACGCCTCTCGCCCAAGCTTTGCAATGCTGAACTCTTACCGGTGCAGTGGCAGCGAGCTGCTGTACTTGCACGGTCCGTTCGTGTCCAGGGCGCCCTGCCCGCCTCACAGCTTTGCACGTGGTTGGAGCGCGACTCCCGGGGCAAAAGGTTCGAGCACCTCAGCAAAATGGGGGCGGGTGGTTGTGGAGGGGGGGATGAGAACGAGAATGTCTGCTCCCTCGGTGTCAAGGAAAATGGAGCCTCAGGCCGAGGAGGGGACGCTGCAAGCAGGACCTGATCGCCTCGCCCTCTCGGCCCTACTGCGGGCGTTCGGCCGTGGGGGGAGGGGGTGGGGAGAGAGGAGACGGATCCAGAAGCTAGGACTACCGTCGGGGCGTTGACCTGAGGCACCCTGAATGAGGAACGAGGCCCCTTTTTTCCCCATGAGTTGAACTTCGGTTTCCCATGGAAAACCTCGGGAACTCCCGAGGCAGAACTGTAAGACAGTCAAGGAACACCGGGCCCCTCCCCAACGAAAAGGGCTCCTTCTTCAGCGCCCCGACTGTGTGGGGCAGAGGGCCGAGGATCGAGGACAAAGGGGGGCTGCACTGTCGGGCCGGAGGGTCGAGGATCGAAGGGAAGGCGGGACTCGAAGATCCACTCGGGAGCGCCCTGCGCGGGGAGGGGCAGAGCAGGTCGAGAGCGGGGCGTCGAGGACCGAGGGACGAGGGAGGGAGAGGACGCGGAGGAGGGCGAGGCGGAGGGCAGGGAGGAGGAAGCACGTCGAGGGTCCAGGCTTTGGGGGCGCGCCGAGGAGGGCACGTCGAGGATCCAGGGAGGAGCGGAGGGAAGGGAGGGGGAGGAGGAGGAACAGAGGGAGGGGCCGAGGGCCGAGGCCCATTGGCCAGCTTCTGCCCCGCTTTCTTGGGGTCTGGAGGGGCGGTCTGCGTTGCGAGGGACGGCGCAGAGGTGGAGGAGGGGGGACGGAGACGGAGCTGGGAGGAGGAGGAGGAGGAGGAGGAGGAGGAGGAGGAGGAGGAGGAGGAGGAGGGGGAGGAGGAGGAGGAGGGGGAGGAGGGGAGGAGGGAGAGGAGGAGGGGGAGGAGGAGGAGGAAGACGAGGAGGAGGCGGAGGACCAGTACAAACCCAAGACTCATCAACGATACTGAAGTACACCCTCCCTCCAAGGTCCCTCTGCGAAGGCCCCACAGGGTGTCATTTCCACTGAAGGAGTTGCCCCGTTGGGGGACACAGGTGTGAACACCTTGAAGCTTGCCAGAACACCATTCTCAAGACTTCAGCGCCACGGGTTAACCTGACTGCTACGTCTTGGCGACCCTGAATCGCGCCAGAACACCATTCCTGGGACCTTAACACCGTCAATCAACGTAACTGCTGCGCCCTGACAGTCCTGAATCCTTCCAAAACACTATGTCTGCACATGTTTTAAACGAATATGCGCGGCGATAAGGCGAGAACCACATGTCGAAAACCCTCTTTTAATGCACGAAACTCATGCACATGTTGGGAACGAGTGCGTGACGCTAAAACGAAAACCAATGTTTGAAAACGACCCGCCGTCAATACGTGAAGATCCTGGAATTTGTACTAAAAGCGACTGTGTGCGGCGCTAAGGCGAGAGCCGCATCTTGAAAACCTCATGCCCTCCATCTGTGAAACTGTTGTCAATTTTAAACATAAAAATCATACATGGCGAAGAAATCTCAAGCGAAACGCCCGGCCCGCCCCTTCGACTGGCCTCGGGGTGCGACAGGGAAAAATTATCGATAAGGAAAACAAATTGCGGAGGAGCAGAAGGAGGGGGAGGAACTTGGGCCCATTCTGGCTCTTGCGGGGGGTGGGGGGGGGGGCGCTCCCCACCCGCGCAGGGGGGGGGCCAGCCCGAACGCGCCGCCCCATGGGCAGCGTGCCTTCGAGTGGAACATCATCCCCCAGTGGACGAACCATAGGCTGGACGTTCACAACATCGGCTACGAGACTTACCCACCCTGGTGGAGACTACAGGCAGGTATGCAGATAATAGAATCGCATAGAGAAACAAAAACACTTGCAGCTCTCAAGAAAACGGGTTACCTCGTCAGACATGGGCTACAACCACACCTCAAGGACATCATGACCATCGCTACGGCAGCCTTCATGACGGCGTCCACTACAGGACGGGGCGAGCTACGTATCATGCAGCCCGAAGAGAAGCTGCATAACATGCAGCCCGAGCAAGAGCTGCGTAACAGGCAACCCAAATACGACACCACATACGCCACCAGGACCGACACCAGGAAAGACACGACCGGGTAGCCCGAAGGGTCACTACATTATGCCGTCGTGGAGGTACCTGTGAACAACGGCCGCTACGACGAGAACGACTGAGGCCGCGCCGCCTACAACGAGTACTACTAAGACAGTCTTTTCGATAACGGCCTGTACTTCTACGACCCCCCCAGGACCACGACGGACCGCAGGGCTACGACAACCGCCTGGACCAAAGGGACACCCAGAACGTAGAACACTAGGACTTGGCAGCCGACGACTCCGACTCGGACCCATGGCACTGCGAAGAGAGTGTGCCCTCGGAGCTGCTACAGCCACCAGCAAAGCCACCAGGGTCAGCAGGCGACCTTCGGAGACAACAAGCTGAACTGCGAGGACCACACGCACAGCCGTGAGACTCACCAGACGAGGCACATGCCGAGCCACGAGACCCGCCAGTAGACCCACCATCTCCACAACCTGAGCTGCGAAGACCGTGAGCTGAGCTACGAGAAGCAGGGCCACGTGGGTCACCTGGAAAGCTACTTGGGTCACTACCTGAGTTACGAGAGCAACGACCAGAGCGACTACCGCCACCAGCCAAACGACATTCGGGGACCACGCGCACAACTACGAGTCCCCAGAAGAGCCTGAAGACCCACCTGCTGAACTACGACAACCACCAGCAGAACCAAGAGAGCTACAAACTGTGCTACGAGGACCACAAGCTGAGCTACGAGGACCACAGGCACAGCTACGGGAGCCACCAGACATACCACAGGACCCACCTGCCGTGCTGAGAGATCCACCTGCCGAACCACGAGAGCCACAAGCTGAGCAACGAGGACCGCAAGCTGAGCCACGAAAACCACAAGCAGGACTAAAATAATCCCACCAGCCTTCTGAGCGACAGGTGGTCTAACGATGTCTCTATTCCTCTTCCACAACCCCTCCCTCCCCTTCGGATCGGGGAGTGTTGTACCCCTCCCCTTACCCCTCCCTTGGACTTGGACGGGGGGGTTCACGAGCGGTCAGAGCGTCCAAGGTGGCCCAAGGCTCAAGGTAGCCCAACATGGCCCAAGAAAGCTAACAACATGCCTCCAAGAGGCCCCAAGAAAACCACAAGACGGTTCCAGGTACTTTTAGCGACCCCTGAACCTTCCCGAGAAGCCAAAATCAGTCAAAAACCACTAGAAAATCACTGATTGTGCCTTCTCGCATTTGCGCTTCCGATGCGCTTTTGAAGCCTCAAGGTGGCCCTGAGATGGCATGAGAGAGCTCCAAGAATGGCCCAAGAGGCCCCCAAGACTGCCCCAAACGCGCCCAAGACCGCCCCAAGAGGGCCCCAAGAGCGCCCCAAGAGGCTATTTCGATGGCCCCGGAGGGGGGAGGCAAATCGATGACCCCCCCTCCTTGATCGATCGATGGTCTCCAAGATGGCCCCCGGAGGAGCTCCGTAGCTCCCAAGAGGGCCCCAAGAGAGCCCCGAGGGAGCCCTAAGGGGGTCCCAAGAGAGCCCCAAGGCGCCCCAAAAGAGCCCCAGGAGGACCCCAAGACCCCCCGACTTGTCCCAAGAGGGCCCCAAGATGCCACAGACGAGCTCCAAGAGGACCCCAGCATCCCTCAATACAGCCCCGTAGCTCCAAGAAGGCCTCCGATGCTCCAAGATCGCCTCCAAGATGGCTCAACACCCTCCTTCCTCTCCTCTCTTTGCACGCTTTATTTCACTATGTGTGCCTCTTCATCACTTTTCCCGTCAGCTCTCGTGGGCAGGGCTTCTGAATGGGCTGGTGGGGACTCCCGAAGCGTAAGCAATTACCAGCTGAACCACGAGGACCGCCTGCTGCGCTACGAGCGAGGGCCACCAGCTGAGCTACGAGGACCACCAGCTGAGCTACCGGAGGCACCAGCTGTGCTACGAGGACCACGGACACAACTACGAGAGCTACGAGGGCCACCTGCTGAGCTTCCAGGGCCACAGCCAGAGCCACGCGGACTACAGGAAGACCTAATTACCTGACCCCCCGGCAGAGCGACTAGGGCGACGACCTGACGCCCCGACAGCTGCTGGGCCAGCAACGGGGGGGGGGGCCTCCGCTCCAGCGGGGCGCGCCCGTCCTCGGCCTGGGCCCCCGCCGCGGCCTCGCCGTCCTGGCTGGCCGCGGCGGCGCGGGAGTGGGGGTGCAGAGGCACCTCGGCGGCGGCTGGCACCACGGCCGCGGCGGGCCCTCCAGCAGGCTCTCCTCCTGGCCATCCATCTCCCCACCGGCCGAGCATTGCCCATCGACCCGCACGGCTGTGGGGGTGGGGCGACGCACCGGCGTGCGAGCGGCTCCTGCCCCGCCGGGTCGCAGGGAGCCCCGCTGCTGCCCGCGACCGACCCACCCCACTTCCCCGGGGGCGGTGGTCCTCGTCCACGACCCACTGCTCCAGGGCCCTGGGGAGCCCGCCCTCTGCCTCAGCGGCTCCTCCTCGCGGGCGGGCTCGCCTCCGTCACCACCCTCGGCCTCTCCGCGCGGGCGGGCCGCCACGACGAGAGCAGCCGCCAAGACGAGAGCGGCAGCTCCCACCACACCCACGCCGTCGCCCCAGCCTCCGCTGCAGGCGGCCGCTCGGCCTCCAGCATAGTAATAAGTAGATGACGATGACGATGATGATGACGATGACGATGACGATGACGATGACGATGATGATGACGATGATGATGATGATGATGATGATGATGATGATGATGATGATGATGATAATGATGCTGCTGATGCTGCTGATGCTGATGATGCTGATGATGCTGATGATGAGTGATGATTATGATGATGGTGGTGGTGGTGGTGGTGATGGTGGCGGTGCTGATAATGGGATGGTACTGATGAAGATGTTGGTGATGGTATGGTGATGTTGCAAATGATTATGATGATGCTGATGCTGATGATGACGATGATGACGGTGATGATGATAATGCTGATGATGATGACGATGCTGATGATGATGATAATGATGATGCTGCTGTTGATGATAATGTTTATGCTGTTGCTGCTGCTGCTTCTGATGATGATGATGCTGGTGGTGGTGGTGATGCCGGTAACGATGATGATGGTGACGACGATACTGATGATGATGGCGACGATGATGACGATGATGATGATGATGGTGATGATGATGGTGATGATTAGGATGATGATGATGATGCTGATGATGGTGACTATGGTGCTGATGAGGATGGGGATGATGATGATGATGATGATGATGATGATGATGACGATGACGATGTCGATGATAATGCTGCTGTTGATAATGCTGCTGCGGATGATGGTGATTATGAACATGAGGGCGACGGTGCTGGTGATGATGCTGATGCTGCTGATGATGATGGTGATGATGCGGAGGAGGAGGATGATCATGATGATGATGTTGATCATGCTGGTGGTGTTGATCATGTGGAGGAGGACGAAGGGAGGAAGAAGGAGACTCAGGATGGGCGAGTGGGCGAGGAGGAGGAGGAGGACGAGGAGGAGGAGGAGAAGGAGGAGGAGGAGAAGGGCAACAACAAATGTCGCTGGACAACCCACTCATGCGACCACGCGAGCACTTCGCGAGGGGAGTGTACTGGCATCGTCGAGCCCCAACCTCATCAGTGTTGAATTCAGTCTCGGTGCATCCGCCCAGCAACTTGTTAGTGTGGCGATGTGCAGACCTGCCTTCTACTTGGTTAGCCACAATGCTCCAGTCATCCACCCATAACGGAGGCCGCGCAAATGGGGTCCGAGCAGATGGGGTCAGAGGATCGCGCCGCATCGCACTCCGCTACGTCGGCGATGCATCGGCGACGGACCTCCGCGAGGAGCCGCATCGAGCCGCATCGCCAATGCATCGGCGATGCTACGCGGTCCACCGACCCCATCTGCTTCGAGTCAATTTGGGCGGCCTGGACACACGCCCTCGACCCTCCTCCAGCCTGCAACAGACCCTGCGCCTTCCCGCCCCCCTCCACCCCCATCCCGTTCCATCTTGCTGATCCACCCGAGACGTCAGGGCTTGCACGGCATGTTGCCTCGTCGTTCGACTCCTTCTGCAGCTGCGCCTTCTCCTTGAAGGTCGCCAGGTCCCTACGCAAGTCCTGCCAGGCCGCCAGGGAAGAAAGGAGGAGGGAAGGGGAGAAGGAGAAGGACGAGAAGAACAAAGACGGGAAGGGGCTGGCGGGCATCGACCCCGGGACCTGTCCTGGAAGGCGCTCTGGCTGGAAAACCGAGAACGGATCCGGCAGTGGCCGCGGTCGCCGCACAAGGCCCAACAAAGCCCAAGGACATACCGAATGGGAACAGCTTCAGAAGAAAAGCAACACCACCACAGCGCCGAGGAGACAGGGGTGGTCTTCCTGGTGGTGTTGTCCTCCCTCCCCTCTCGAGACATCCCCTATCCCTTGCCCAAGGAAGCATGGTGGACCTCCTCGCTGGAGGTGACACCCCTGGTGGTGGTATCGCTGCTTCTCCCCTCCGAACCAGAGCCAGGCCCCCTAATCTGGATCGACCCTGGCGGCCACACGACGACGGACCCGCGCGCACGTCCTCTGCCGCCTGTGCGTGGCTCTCGTGGGTGCCGGACAGCTCGCGCCGAAGGTCCGCCAGCGCCGCCTCGATCCCGGACATCTGCACCTCCATCCCCGCCCGAAAAAAAAGGGGGGAGCAGGGGGGCGCGGCGGAGCCTTCCTCCTCCCCCTGCTCCCCGTCCCGGTCTCCGTGCCCCTGCGTAGCACTCTCCCCCTCCTTCCCCCCTCTCCCCTTCCCCCGGCTTCCGGTTCTCCTGCTCCTCGCAGTCCCCCTGCGCCTTCCCCATCTCCCTCTGCAGTCACACAGTCTGAGTACTACTCTCTTCGCTCCCCTGACGACGTCCGGAAGATCTTCGTTTCCCCCTCGCGAGCGATATGTTTCCACACGCGATCCCCAGAACATGGGATATCGATGGGATTCGTTTCAGAATGCTGCTCCCGCCGAAGCGTTGGTTTCACTCTCCTGCTTCCGCTCGTTCCCGATCACGGTCCCGCTGCAGCGCTGGCCTCATTTGCGCGCTTCCGCTCGTTCCGAATCGTGCTCCCGCTGCAACGCTGGCCTCATTTTCGCACCTCCGCTCGTGTCGAATCACGTTCCCGCAGCAGCGCTGGCGTCATTATTTCCATCGCCATGCCACGGCACGGTCTTCGGTTCCAAATGAACCCCAACATCAAACAGTGCCCCCCGAAAAACACCATCGGAAATGATCGTACATTCGGCGTCGATTCGTTTATTTTCCTGGGCCGTTGACTCCCCATCTTCGGGGCGTCGCCACGCCATCCTATGTCATGCTACGCGTGGACCTTCAACATCCGGTGATGCCATGTAATGCTGTGCCATGCTACGACATTTGACTGTGCGAATAAAGAAGAGATCTACGCCATGGTGGGTGATGAGAGGAAAATATTGGACGTCGGATATGACGCGAGAGCACTCAGCTTGCCCCTCACCCCCTCCTCCTGGTCTCCCTGTCCCTCCTCACAGTCCCGCCCCCCCCCCCCCCCCCCGCCCCCCCCCCCCCCCCCGAGCGGGCGCGGAGGGGAGGGGGCGCGCGCGAAGAGCAGTGGAAGGGAGGAGGGCGGATGCAGGAGGGAGGATGGAAGAAGGGGGCTGGGAAAAGTCGGAGAGAAGAAGAGGACAAACTGGGCGCGCTCGCTCCATGTCTTACATCCTGCCAATCCAGCAGAAAGGAAGAGGACGGACGAGGACGAAACACAACAGCGGAAACTGGATCGGAAAGAACGGGAAAATCAAGAGGACCAGAGGAAGGCGGATGAGGGGAAACGACGGGGGCGACAACGATGAGGAAAGACTCGGATCCACAAAAGTGGCCCGCGCTTGGGCGAGAGCGCCGTTCTGATCGATGGCAGCAGAGCGCCGATCCGAAAGTGAGACCCCGGCTGCAGCGAGAGCACCATTTTGAAAGTGCTGTTGGCCAGAAGTTCTACAGTATTCGCGCGAGTGCCCAACCAGGGTGATGGATCTCCCCCATCTCATCCTGACCCAGGGGGTCTCTTCGAGAGGACCTTGTGCATGAGGTGTTCCCTCGTGCTGATCGACGACACTGCGACGGAGCGAGCGAAGCAAGCGCCTCCCCTTTGCCGACGGCCAGGGACCAGCGCGCGGCCCGATATCAGTCGCGCCTACCACCTTCTTCGAGGGGCAAACAGAATCTTGAACCAAAGGCCTGCAGCGGCGGGCGGATGGGTGATAACATGACGCAGACAGGAGCCCTCCTCCTTTTCCTCCTCCTCCTCCTCCTCCTCCTCCTCCTCGGCCTCCTCCTCCGCTTCCTCCGCCTCCTCCTCCTCCGCCTCCTCCGCCTCCACCTTCTCCTCCTCCTCCTCCTCCTCCTCCTCTTCCTCCTCCTCCTCATCATCCGCCTCCTCCGCCTCCTCCTACTCCTCTTCTTCCTCCTTCTCCACTTCCTCCCCTTCCTCCTCCCTCCTCCTCCTCCTCCTCCTCCTCCTCCTCCTCCTCCTCCTCCTCCTCCTCCTCCTCCTCCTCCTCCTCCTCCTCCTCCTCCTCCTCCTCCTCCTCCCCCCCGCGTCGGCCACTGGGGAAGCCGAGCCCTCGCGCGCCGGCCTTCGGCACACCGCGCCCGGGAGCGGTAAACCCCAAGAGCAGCCCGACAACGCCCACACTCCGCGCAGGGCTCACTCCCGCTGCAACGAGGTCGGGCACATCCTCCGACATTAGAGGAAAAAGAACCATGCACATACACCGATTCTGGCCAGGCCCATACTGAGCCCAGGATCGGTGCATACGCCCTCTTACCTTGGCCAGGAAGGTGTATACACTGATCCTGGGTCAAGGATGGACGTTGTCAGGATCGGTGCATGTGCATAGTTCTCTTCGCCCGAGACATGCGGATCTTGGAAGGAAGCTGAAAGGCGTGCAAAACAAATCAAACAACAGCCAACAACTGCTCGAAACATCGCCCCCAGACCTTGTGGACGAGCTTTGGATGTTCCTCCTGTGGGGGGACGTGCCCGGCTTCACTTGGACGCCCGAGTTATCCGGGGTTACTCGGGTCCGGGGTAACTCGGGTTTGGATTCCCGAGAAAGGACCCAGAGTTAGCCCTGACCCGAATTACCCCTGATGATTCGGGGCTCTGGACGCCCGAATTATCCGGGGTAACTCGGGTCCGGGGTAACTCGGGTTTGGATTCCCGAAAAACGAACCCGAGTTATCCCTGACCCGAGTTACCCCTGATGATTCGGGGCTCTGATTCACGCCGCAGGGCAAAAAGCCCAGGTACTCGACGGATCCCTCATTCATTCGACAGGCCCGCGGGGCACCCCAGCGCTGATCGCTCAGTCGCACGGGTGCCATCGCGGCTCGCAACGACGTCGATCACTTCGTACTCCAGCCGCCGCTATACCTGTCTCCCTTGTCCTATGTCTTCTCGGAGTCGTAGTCGGACGAAGACTTGCCACGCTCGTCTTCCACTTTCTCCAGATTCGTAACCATGTACTCTTGCTCCAAACGCTTCCCGAGCTCCAGCGACCACCGCTAGCACTGCAGACTGCATGGTGTTGATGATACGCACTGGAAACCCAGTCGCCATCACCAGCTTTGCCGGTATCGTGGCCTCGAGTGTACCATGTCTCTTCATCCGTTTCGCGATCTTACCTTTCCCGCTCTCCCACCGACCGCTGGCCTTGTAGGAGCCCCATGCACTTTACCCCCATCTCTGCCCTCATCGCGACTCTGACCCTTGGTCTTGGCCGCTTTAGCGCCAGCAGGGGCATCATCGTGTCCACTGGCCTCACGATCTCTTTTAGTGCCCGTCTCCGTAGGATGGGGGCGGAGGCAAATTGGGTCTGCCAGCTGCAGACGCGGCCGCGGCGTGCTCGGTAACGGATTGAAGCTCCATTGCAGGGAAACTCTTCACCATTAGCATGGCCACCGTGACGTACCACACGCCACGGTCATCTATTACATGGCCCATTTTGACGCAGGCTTTCCCGACGAACCAGCCTCACCACCGAACCAATCCCTACCGATGATGTCGGGAAGACGCCTTATGTCAATCACGGTGATATCAACCGATGGTCCCGTGGGTCGTTTCAGCAGGGGTGAGGACCAAGGGTCCATCAACGAAGTCTGTGCAAGAACACATTCGCCGGCCCACCCTTCGTCATACATACACTTCGCCGGCCCAGCTGCGACATAGCCGCGGAACACCAGGTCGATCCACCCATCACTGTACATTGCGACAGATCCGAGATCTCCACGATCACGTTGACGATCTCCAGCGCAAACTAACATGCGTCGACGTGGAACCAAAGCTCGTTCGTTGTCCTCGGCCCGGGCGCGATCCGACTTCTCTGTTATCGTATGTTTGGTTGTCCTGGGGTCGCCGCATCAGACAGGTACCATTAGGTCAGGCCTGTCCCCCTACAGAGGGATTTTGGGCGAAAAATGATTTGAAAAAAAATGCTGCAAACAAAATGCAAAAGTAGTAAACATTCGTCCCCTGACTATGTTTTCACTATTTCTGAATTTTCCCCCTGTAGAGGGACACGCCGCGCTGTTAGCCAGAGGCTGGCGGGCACTTTTCTCCACCCCATTTGGGGATGTCTGCCGCTGCCAATGCCTCGGTGATGAACTTCATATTCGCGGGGAGTCCCCTTTCCCTCCCCAGGGGCCCACGCAGGCCCAGGAACGCCAAAGACGTACAGAAGCTTCCATCCTCGTCCCCCATGCCCCTTGCCCCCCTCCCCCCACCTCCTCGTCCCCTTCCCTCCCCCTTCCCCTCTCAGCCGCTTCCGCCGTCCCTTCCCGGCCCCCCCCCCTCCCCCCCTCCTCCCCCTCCTCCCCCTCCCTCTGCTCCCCCCGCTCTCCGATCCCCCCCCCTGCTCCCCCTCCCCCTCCTCTCGGAGGCCTGGAAATGGGCACCAACACCAACACAGGGGGTTTGCTTCCACAGGGGGAAGGTGATGATCCTAGATTTCGGCGTTCGTCGTAATATTTCGGCCGCCTTGGAAGCCAGAATATTACCACCATCGCCGAGATTGGGATCTTCTTCCCTCGGTGGAGGCACCGCCGAAATTGGTGTTGGTGTCAGCCTCTAGGCCCTTAGGCCTGCGATCCTCCGTTTCTGGCCACCCGCTGTGGATGGGAGGGCGGTGCCTTCTGCGACTCGTGCAGCGCCCTGCCCGACTCCAGCTCGGCCCTGGCCGCGCAGGCCCCGCGCCGCGCCGCGTGCCGGCGGCGGCCCCCGTCCCCGCCCCAAGCCGGCCGGGCCCGCCCAAGGCAGCAGGAGCTTTCCTCTGGTTCCCAGCGCCAGGCACGCGCGCAAGCACTACACACATCCCTCTCCCTCTCTCTCTCTCTCTTTCTATGCCGTTTTCTCTCTACGTCTCTCTCTCTCTCTCTCGCGCTCTCTCTCTCTCTCTCTCTCTCTCTCCCTCTCTCTCTCACTATGTCCACATTTATTTGTATATATGTATGTATATATATATATGCATCTACAGATGTACATGTGTGTATCCATCTATACTGTAATATGTATCGCGTGTTTGCTGTTATCGTTGACCTTCTCTCTCTCTCTCTCCCACTATATATATATATATACAAGACTGCATTGGCGCTGCGCGCCATGCACCTTGGTCCTTTGAGTTCTGCACGCAAGCGGAATGCGTGCGTGCGAACATGCGCGCATGCATGTATACACGCGCGTGTGCATGCACGTTCCGTCTAAATGTCTAGGTGTATACAATATAATTGCATTGTTGTATGTGTACACAGTGTACATATCTACATATAAATTTATGTGTGTAAGGATATGAACATGCATATGCAACTCGTACGGGGCATCCTCGGGCATCTTCGCTACATGCCACGAGACCCTCAACGACTGGGTCACAATATGAAATGTCATGGGAGCAAAATCAATGAATGTTGGCATTCGGAAACATCGTGGGGGTGTTTTCGGTGCCCTTGTGGGCCGTTTGGGCGCCTTCATGGGCCGTCCTAGGGCCTTCTTGGGCCGTCTTGGGGAGCTTGGGCCCGCTGGAGCCCCCTTTGGACCCATCTTGGGCACTTCCGGGGACCTCCCACGGCCCTTTTGGGTCTGCGCTGGGAGCCCTTGGGGGCCTCTTGGTTCCATTATGGGCTGTCTTGGGGCTCTCGTGGGCGATCGTGGGGCCAGGCTCGGCCGTCTTGAAGCTTTCTAGGGGGCTTTTTGGAGCGTCTTGAGGCGATCTCGGGGGCTTTGAAACCGTCTTGAAAGCTGATGAAATCCGAAAGGCGAATATGCTAAAATTGTAAGTTTACGAAGGGAATGGGACGATTTGTGTGGTTTGAAGGCCCCTTGGAAAGCTTTTTGGGGTGCCTTGGGGGTCTTTATGTTGGCATTCGGAAACATCGTGGGGGTGTTTTCGGGACCCTCGTGGGCCGTTTTGGCGCCTTCATGGGCCGTCCTGGGGCCTCCTTGGGCAGTCTTGGGGAGCTTGGGCCCGCTGGAGCCCCCTTTGGACACATCTTGGGTACTTCCGGGGACCTCCAATGGCCCTTTTGGGTCTGTGCTTGGAGCCCCTGGGGGGCCTCTTGGTTCCATTATGGACTGTCTTGGGGCTCTCGCGGGCGATCGTCGGGCCCGGCTCGGCCGTCTTGAAGCTTCTTGGGGGGCCTTTGGGGGCGTCTGGAGGCGATCTCGGGGGCTTTGAAACCGTCTTGAAAGCTGATGCAATCCGAAAGGCGAATATGCTAAAATTGTAAGTTTTACGAAGGGAATGGGACGCTTTTTCTCCACATGCTTCGTGGGGTTCTGGTTTTCTTCCCTGCCGCGCCGCGCCCGCGTCTCCCCCACACCCGCCCTCCTCCCCTCCTCCTCCTCCTCCTCCTCCTCCTCCTCCTCCTCCTCCTCCTCCTCCTCCTCCTCCTCCTCCTCAGCACAGCGCAGCACAGCACAGCAGACCGCAGCACAGCATAGGACAGCACAGCACAGCTCAGCAGAGCACAGCACAGCACGTCTCGGCGACACGCGTCTACATACAGCCGCACGCATGCACACACTCGCACACACAAGACGACACCAGTCCTGGCATAGCAGGCGTGGCACTTTCTCGACACCATAGGGGGTGCGCAGGGGGTGGTCTCTCGCTGCGGTCTCTATACGCCCCAGTCGTCCTGCTATAGCAGGCGTGGCCCCAGTCGTCCTGGCATAGCAGGCGTGGCACTTTCTCGACACCATAGGGGGTGCGCAGGGGGTGGTTTCTCGCTGCGGTCTCTATACGCGCCGGTCGTCCAGGCATAGCAGGCGTGGCACTTTCTCGACACCATAGGGGGTGCGCAGGGGGTGGTCTCTCGCTGCGGTCTCTATACGCGCCGGTCGTCCAGGCATAGCAGGCGTGGCACTTTCTCGACACCATAGGGGGTGCGCAGGGGGTGGTCTCTCGCTGCGGTCTCTATACGCGCCGGTCGTCCAGGCATAGCAGGCGTGGCACTTTCTCGACACCATAGGGGGTGCGCAGGGGGTGGTCTCTCGCGCGGTCTCTATACGCGCCGGTCGTCCAGGCATAGCAGGCGTGGCACTTTCTCGACACCATAGGGGGTGCGCAGGGGGTGGTCTCTCGCTGCGGTCTCTATACGCGCCGGTCGTCCAGGCATAGCAGGCGTGGCACTTTCTCGACACCATAGGGGGTGCGCAGGGGGTGGTCTCTCGCTGCGGTCTCTATACGCGCCGGTCGTCCAGGCATAGCAGGCGTGGCACTTTCTCGACGCCAGAGGGGGCGCGCAGGGGGTGGTCCCGGGCGGCGCTATACGCGCGGGTCCAGGGGGTGGTCTCTCGCTGCGGTCTCTATACGCAGGCAGTGGCACTTTCTCGACACCATGGGGGTGCGCAGGGGGTGGTCCTCGCGCGGCTCTATCCGAGCCGGTCGTCCAGACATAGCAGGCGTGGCACTTTTCTCCCAACCATAGGCGGGGGCGCAGGAACGGGTCTCTCGACTGCGGTATCTATTACGCGCCGGTCGTCCGGCATAGCAGGCGTGGCACTTTCGACAACAGAGGTGGGTGCGGCGCAGGGGGCGGTACCTGAGCGCGGCCGGATATATACGCGCCGGTGTACAGGCATAGCAGAGCCGTGGCACTGTCTCCCCCCCCCCGTACGCCAGAGGGGGTGCGCAGGGGGTGGTCCCAGAGCGCGGCTGCTATACGCGCCGGTCGTCCAGGCATAGCAGGCGTGGCACTTTCTCGACACCAGAGGGGGTGCGCAGGGGGTGGTCCCTGAGCGCGCGGCTGCTATACGCGCCGGTCGTCCTAGCATAGCAGGCGTGGCATTTTCTCGACACCAGAGGGGGTGCGCAGGGGGTGGTCCCTGAGCGCGGCCGCTATGCACGACGGTCGTCCAGGCACAGCAGGCGTGGCACTTTCTCGACACCAGAGGGGGTGCGCAGGGGGTGGTCCCTGAGCGCGGCCGCTATGCACGACGGTCGTCCAGGCATAGCAGGCGTGGCACTTTCTCGACACCAGAGGGGGGCGCAGGAGGTGGTCCCTGAGCTCGGCCGCTATGCGCGACGGTCGTCCAGGCACAGCAGGCGTGGCACTTTCTCGACACCAGAGGGGGGCGCAGGGGGTGGTCCCTGAGCGCGGCGCTATACGCGCCGGTCGTCCAGGCATAGCAGGCGTGGCACTTTCTCGACACCAGAGGGGGTGCGCAGGGGGTGGTCCTTGAGCGCGGCCGCTATGCACGACGGTCGTCCAGGCACAGCAGGCGTGGCACTTTCTCGACACCAGAGGGGGGCGCAGGAGGTGGTCCCTGAGCTCGGCTGCTATGCACGATGGTCTTCCTCCCTTCTCTCCTCTTCTTCCTCCTCCTCCTCCTTGCCCTTTACCTCCTCTCCAGGAGGCCGACCTGGCTTGTCCGTGCTCGGCCGCCTTAGGTGTCTCGTGCTCGACCGACCTGACTTGTTCGACCGCCTTAGGTGTGGCGTGCTGGATCGATCTGACTTGTTTTCTTCCCTGCCGCGCCGCACCCACGACACTCTCACACACACACACACACACACACACACACACACACACACACACACACACACACACACACACACACACACACACACACACACACACACACACACCTCACTCTTCGTACAGCACAGCACAGCACAGCACAGCACAGCACAGCTCAGCTCAGCACAGCACACAGCTCAGCTCAGCTCAGCACGCAGCACAGCGCAGCACAGCACAGCACAGCTCAGCTCAGCTCAGGTCAGCACAGCACAGCTCGGCTCAGCTCAGCTCAGCACAGCCCAGCACGGCTCAGCACAGCACAGCGCAGCTCGGCTCAGCTCAGCTTGACACGCTCGCAGAGCGTGGCAGGCGCTGCATTTTCTCGGCACCACTGGGGGCCCAGGGCGTTGCAAGCGTGGCACTTCCTCGACACCACAGGGGGGGAGCTGTGGGTGGGGACGCTATCCGTTTCGGGCTCGCAAAGCGTGGCAGGCGTGGCATTTCCTCGACACCACAAGGGGGGGAGCTGTGGGTGGGGACGCTATCCGTTTCGGGCCCGCAAAGCGTGGCAAGAAAGGGGCCGTGGACAACCAAAGGGGGGGAGCCTTAGTGGTGCGGATCTAGATCCGTTTCGGGCTCGCAAAGCGTGACAGGCGTGGCACTTCCTTGACGCCACAGGGGGGGAGCCGTGGGTGGGTACACTATCCGTTTCGGTATCGCAAAGCGTGGCAGGCGTGGCACTTCCTCGACACCACAGGGGGGGAGCTGTGGGTGGGGACGCTATCCGCTTCGGGCTCGCAAAGCGTGGCAGGCGTGGCATTTCCTCGACACCACAGGGGGGGAGCTGTGGGTGGGGACGCTATCCGTTTCGGGCTCGCAAAGCGTGGCAGGCGTGGCACTTTCCTCGACACCACAGGGGGGGGAACTCGTGGGTGGGGGACGCTATCCGTTCGGGCTGTCGTGGCACTTCCTCACACACAGGGGGGAGCTGTTCTTTTTGGGGTGGGGACGCTATCCGCTTCGGGCTCGCAAAGCGGGGCAGGCGTGGCACTTCCTCGACACCACAGGGGGGGAGCTGTGGGTGGGGACGCTATCCGTTTCGGGCTCGCAAAGCGTGGCAGGCGTGGCACTTCCTCGACACCACAGGGGGGGAGCTGTGGGTGGGGACGCTATCCGTCTCGGGCTTGCAACGGGTGGCAGGCGTGGCACCTCCTCGAC